ATTTCGACGCAAACATAAATCTCGCATTTACGACGCACCGTGCGAGGAAGAGAGAGGAAAATCGAAATTATTCAAAAGTGAAGCGAACGCCTAATCGATTAATGAGAATGCCATCGCGGAGGTCTTATATCAATAGTGAACGGGGGAAATTTGCGCCCTGACTAGTGCGTTCAAAGGAGTCTTTGGAATTGACAATTCCTGCGATTGATGGGTTTGCGTACGAGAAGGGCTGGGGCTTGGATAGCATTCTACAATTATAGCAAAAAATATAGAATCGTTTTGAGTTTTCACAAGAATTATGTATCGATCTACTTTAGACTTCTTCATGTTCTTACAATTATCACCATCCCGTGCCCCCACCAAAAAAGCCGATTTCCAAGGGGAAATCTTGCCCCCGTCCGGGCCCGGACTCCGCGGATTTCCCGTGCAACATTGCCCCGTCTCCGGCGATAGAACGAAAGTCCAACCTTAATTGGCTCCCCGACAGTGAGATTCATGGAAGGAAGATTTGGTCCTTCGTGTCTTTTCAATCTCCACCGCTTGACTCTGTGATGCGCGTGTCCAAGTCAAGACAGTTGTGTTCGCGACGTCGTTTCTATGCTCGATCGTTCTTGGATTTCCACAAGAACGAAGAAGACGCGAGAAAGACCCTGCTACTAAAATTAAGAAATCCAAGCACGACAAGCGATTCGGCAAGCTAATTCATCAAGCCCTTTCTTTATCGATGGTGGGACGAGGTGAATTTTGCAAGTCAATGACAGAGTCGTTGCGTAATCTAGAAGATCCAGATCGTGCGCTCTTGTGACTCGCACGTCCTCGCCAGTCGCTAAGATCTGGGCCGGCAGTTGCTGGCCATCACAGAGGCCTTGGCAACCACCGGATGGATATAAGGAAAAAAGAAAAAAGAAAGGGAAAGGAAAGGAAAGAAAAAATTCGGGAAAATTTTTAAAATTTGCAATAATCGTTCACATTAGCGCCGATTGTGCCACGTAGGACGGTCGGCATTGACTAGAATGCCACGTCAGTGATCTCCAATTAAAATTGATCGGAAGGGCTATATTGGCAAATCGTCCAAAAGTTCATCACTAAATTGACTAATATGACGAGTTTTTTTGACAATTTTCCAAAAAAATAAAAAAGAAGTACGAGTCATATAGAATTTCGATCATGGGCATGTCCAAAAGCAACCAATAAACTTAAAAGAGAAAATGACGAGCACAAGAACTAACCAACCGATGGTGTGCTCAATTTCTAGCACAATCATTTTGAAAAATTGGAGGAACAAGACAAGCTTGTAGATCTTCTCCAGAGTCCCAAGACCCGGCAAAGTCGACCATCCACATGTGCTCTTATCAAAATTAGTCGTAAAGAGACCACGCAACCAATTTCGAAAGTTACTTGTCATATGATCCCCTTCGCCGCCTGATAATTTGGGTCTTTGGAGCGGTCGGTCACGTTATGGAAACGTTCAAAAGATGCATCTAATTTTCCTTAAAAATCGCTACTATTCGGAGCATGAACGCCCAGAACGCTCGATACCCTTTGCCTTTGAACAGGGATTTTTTCCTTTTCGTCTCCTTTCGGGCGAAACGAAGTCAAGGTCGGGATACACGAGAGTATCCGCCTGTAAAGTCTCGTTGGACATTTGAAACGCGGGTCGTTTTCGCGAGACGTTCACGGCCTCGCCAATGCGACAGTAAATTATGCCGTCCGTCCAATCGGAAACGAGCTTAATATGTCGGAAAGACGACAGACAACGCAACCGAGGCGATGACGAAGTGGTGCGGGATGTCAAGTTTCACAGGTATAACAGGAAGAATTGAACCGGAGGTCTAGGATGATCCGTGTGCATGCATGAGCACGACCTGATGATCCTCCAGCTCCAAGTGCGGCGTATCTAGACTCGCACGAAGCCAAAGTCTCGTGCTCGAGTCGTTTTCTGGACTTGGAAAATCAGAGGATGCAACTCACAACAACGTCGGTTGTCAAATATTGCGACGTCCGAGTTTACAATAACGTGTTCAGAAGACAGAACCACGTGATTCGATAATAGTTTATGGAAGAACAAAAAATTTAGGGTTCGTGTTTTTTCTGGATTCTTTTCGTGGGGCCGCGGCCAACTGGTTGAAAAGTCCAAGACTAGGTTTGCAAGCCGAAGAGTCACAGATTCAATGGAAAAAATTATCCAAAAAGTCACAAATTTATTACAGTTTTGCCAATTTGATTTTAAACCTTTCAATGTTTTTGCCAATTGAGTCATAAATATTTTCATGTTTTGCCAATTGAGTCCATTCGGCTAATTTTAGTTAGAAATCACTGATGTGGACGCCAGCCGTTCTACATGGCTCGGCTAGCCGGCGCTTACATGAACAATTTTAAATAATATTTTAATATTTTTTTGAATTTTTTTTATTAATTTTCTTTTCTTTTCTTTCTTTCTTTTTTTTTCTTTTTCTTCTTCCAAGTCCGGGGAGGGTCACCAGCCGATCCTCGCCGGGTACAAACAAGGGCCAGCCAGCCTCGCCTATTGTTAGCTGACAACCCTCGCTAGACTTGATAGAAAAAAAGGAAAAGAAAGAAAGAAAATGAAATAATAAAAAATAATTAAAATTCGAGAAAATATTAAAATATTAATAAATATTGTCCATGTCCGCGCTGGCCATCCTACGTGGCACTACCAGCGTTCACGTCGGTGATTTCCTGCTAAAATTGATTGGATTGACTCAATTAGCAAAACATAAAAAGATTTGGGACTCAATTGGCAAATTGAAAAGTTTAGGACTAATTGGCAAAAGTGCAATCGGTATAGACTTTATGGACAATTTTCCCCGAGTTTAATTCTTCAGTCTAGCATTGAAGGACGGACCTAAGCTTAGAGGTATCGCCGATCCTCAGTTTCCCCACTCACACCTAGTGATGTTGCGGTGACAGGCTCGCCGGCGGACAATCGGTGCTTCTTCCAGCATCAAACCTTCCATTCCGCTGGTGGTTGAGTAGGTCCCGATCCCGTTCGAAGTCTTTTTCCGAGGCAAAAAAAAAAAAGGCCCTTAAAGAATACTTAAAGCGCTCGTGATTAGTTGAGTAAACGGGTATGTATTTTGCAGGAGTGCCCAAAAGATTTCTCCAATTTTTGGTGTCAATCAAAGTGAGTCATCCATTACATATTTTATTACAACTGTTTTTAACGGTCTGACATTCTTTTGTTCAGCCGTGTACCCCAGAGAACATTCGCCAGTGGAACCGTCATCGTCGGGTAGGACAACTTGGCTACCCATTCTAGTCCAAACGAAGCATCTCTTCATCTTTTGTAAGTTACCTCAACACGCAAATCTCGAAGATTTTGCCTTGTCCCTTGCCGCTTTTGGCGGCCTCATTCCCGTAACCATCTTCAATAATTCAATCTTTTTTTGTGTTATATATAACTTGGGTTATCGCCTAATTATATACCTCCCCAACATGGCAAGAGTTGGTGGTGACTCGGACCTACCATGTGGGTAAAATTTAGATGATATCACCCGATAGAAAATCGATGTTTCGTGTCTAAGCTTTTATCGATCAAATTCCGCTTGACGATAGAAATGGGGAAAAGTGTTCCAAAAAGTCTTAAACCTCTTGCATTATATCAATTCAGTGCTAAGCTTTTCAATTGGACCATTTTAGTATTAAATATTTTCACATTGATATCAATTCAGTCCGTCCGGCCAATTTAGGCTAGAAATTGCTAACATAGACGCTGGCCGTTCTACGTGACATGATCGGCGCTCACATAAACATTCTAAAATAACATTTAAATAATTTTTTGAATTTTATAAAAAAAAATTTCTTTTCTTTATTCTTTTTTTTTCCTTCATTTTCGCCCAGAGGCAGCAAGGCCTCGAAGGCCCTCACCCATGGCCTTCAGGCCTCGCTGGCCACGAGCGAGGCCACGATGACCCTGGACGAGGCTAGCGTGGCCTCGCCAACAGCGGGCGAGGGCCACATCGCCCACGGTCGGCAAGGACTTGCTGGCCCTCACTGGCCAAATTGAAGGAAAAGACAAGAAAGAAAAAAGGAAAAAAAATGATAATAAAAGATAAGATAAGATAAGAAAAACAAAAAAATTATAAAAATATTGAAAATATTATTTAAAAAATGTCTATGCCAGCACTAGTCATGCAACGTAGGATGGCCAATGTCCACGTCAACGATTTACGACTTAAATTGACCGGATGAACTGAATTTGTACAAATGTGAAAATATTTAAGACTAAATTGATCTAATTGAAAAGTTTAGGACTAAATTGGTAGAGTTAGAACTTTTCTGGATACTTTTCCTGATAGTAATGGTATCACGCATTCGATTAGAGCGCCGCTCCATATCGTATTCGCATTATCTTTGTCTGAGGTCATTTTCACATCGATTGGATTTTACCGAGGTGTATCTTCATGAATGGTGTTGTATGTTTGATGTGGCAAGCTAGCTCGGATTAATTGAAACTTTGCCAAGTGTTGGTAAACTAACGGCTGTTGCGTTCAATTGATTGATACTTATTTGTTAACTATGGATCACGTGGGTTTGTCGCGTTCTCATCGTTTCAAGGTTAAAAAAAATACTTGAACACGCTTGTCATCTCACGGTTGAATAGAATGTAGCCATAGCGTCTTTGATCCTTGGAATCACCTGTGCGACTCGTTCACGAGACTCTTCTTACTCGTCTAGTGTTTGATGCAAGTGATTGTTTCGTATCGCTTGTTGACGTGATTGAAACAGTCTTATGAGCGTCGAATTTTTTCAATTCAATATCTAGAACTTTCAAGTTTTATTGTACATCAACATGGTATCGGGGCCATGTCAAATTATTTCCGGTTGTAGGTCTAATTTATTGCCGCCTGTCTTAAACAAGGCGCATGTTCAATCTCCACACGATTGTTTTTAATTTATCTGTCTCCTCAATGACATCATGCGTATGCGAATGGTGGGGCTACATCATGTGGTTTTATGTATGACAAATACAGACGGTCACGAGCTCATTGTTAACGGTAGAGACAAATTCGGTTGGGTAAAGAAAAAGAAGAGCTAATGGCGTATGCATTCGACAGAGAGACCATCATGAAATCCAATCCCATTCCCAACACTTCGTCTCCAAGCTATTGCTCACGAGTACCTCAAAACTGCATATTAAGCATTCTCAATCAAGAACATATCAAAGTTTTTAAAGCATTGACTACACACATCACAATAAAAACGTCGATGTCCTGAAAATCGTTGGGGCACAGAACCACCGGCATCGCACGCCGAGGTTAACTTAAAAAAAACCTGGACAGAATCAAAACTGATTCGGATGCAAGAAATCTCGACATGAGCCACAGGTTATGACAATCAAATAGAAGAACGAGAGCTACGTCCTAACAGACACAACAGGGCATTGTTCTAACCCTAGTTTAGAATTCCCACCACTCGTCCTATTTAACGGTATTGACAACGCACATTCCATTTGTTTAACGAATCGAAAAGTCACAAGCCGAAGAGTCACGAAAATAACAGAAAGCAAAAGGTTCGCTCCATACTCTTGCTAAACTGTGGGGCACATGGTTGCACAGTGCTACGAGTCCTGAGTTCTTTCTACTCAGCAATGCTTCCTGCTTATAAATAAAGAGACCAACATACCCATCATTAGCCACCCCTAGTTTAATATACTCGTTCAAACATCTGCCTCCCCTCCTTCCCTCCCTCTGTTGTATTAGCCAGATCCATGAGGATGACTAAAATCAATCTGAAGAACGACGCCTCCCTCCTTCTCATTGCCATTTTCATTTTGAGTGCAAGTTTGGGGACCTGCTATGGCAGAGAAGGCAAGCATTGGAGGCCCAGCGAGGCGCACCCACTGAAAAAGGGACAAGGTCATCGAGGTGGACACCGACACCACCGTCAACATCACCACCGCCTTTCGCCGAAGGTGATGGGAGATGGGTACACTGTTCCTCAAGAGACTATGACCAGTTTAGCAGGAAGTTCAGGGAGTACTACCACTTTTAATGTGCTGGACTACGGTGCTAAAGGTGATGGACAGGCTGATGATACGAAGGTGATTATTATTCCTGAAAGCCTTCTACTGTATATTTTCTTTAAGCAAATCAGACGTGTTCTTCCACCTTGATCTCGAGCAGGTGCAGCTTGAAAAGCTGACTAGAGAACCTCACAAGAAAATGACAGTATTATAGAATGGCTTTGCCTACTGGATCATTAGTGTATGCTGATGCTAAATGATTTTTTTTTTTTTGGTTGAAGGCGCTAAATGATCTTTCACCAGGCACTTCATATGCATAGAACTGCAACTGTTTACAAATTCAAATGCTAAAACTCAAACCAAGCAGTGTTAGTAATCACAGTTTATTCAGAAAGAAATTGGTAGTCACTATGATTTCTAATGGGTGCCACACAATCTGTAGTGGTGCCCAACAAGGCAGCCCTAGGAGAAATGAAGGAGGCCGATGGTTAGGCCAGGAGATGCTTCTGGGGCACGGGAAATAAACCTCGCAAAAACAATCAGTAAATAATTGAAAACCTAAAAATAAAGCAGGGATGTGATTTAAGAGTTTATGTGGTTCTAGGATAAAAACTAATTAAGTCAAACTGACAGGCACTTGAAGCAGCTTGTAAAGCAGCATAATTAAAAACCTCGAAACAACAATCAATAAATAATTGAAAACCTTGAAACAGCATTTGAAGCAGCTTGTGCTGCAGCATAATAAGCAGGGATGTGATTTAAGAGTTTATATGGTTTTAAAAATATAAATTAATTAAGTCAAACGGACAGGCATTTGCAGCAGCTTGGGCAGCAGCATGTCAAGTGGCGGCATCAACAATGGTGGTCCCATCTGGGTCCGTGTTTATGGTCAATCCAATCTCTTTTTCAGGGCCTAATTGCAAACCGGGCATTGTGTTTCAGGTAACTTTAACATCCCATTCCTGCTAGCTAACTCTGGTAGACATCACCACTTGGCATCAGGCCACTGCTGGGTGAGGCGTTAATCGGGTTCAAAACCTTGTAGAAGAAAATTTTGGTAGACATATTCTGTGTACTACCATCTAGTATAGGATTCCACGGGATAGCCACAGTTTTGTTGACTCGTCTTTTATACAGTTAGATGGCAAGATAATTGCTCCAACTAGCTCTCAGGCTTGGGGATCAGGTCTCCTCCAATGGATTGAATTCACAAAGCTTACAAAGATCAAAATTAAGGGACAGGGCATCATCGATGGACAAGGCTCTGTGTGGTGGAACGATTCACCCACTGTTAATCCAACAGAGGAGTTGGATTCGGTCTCCTCCACAGCCCTAAATTCAACAAATAGTTCCAACGATACGGTAATTCAGTGCATATTACACGTGCACTTTTTCCTATAGGTCATATATTGTACACTAGCATGCATAGTTCCAGTTAAAAGCCTAACCACAGTTCTCGAAACTTATCCACTTTTTTCAATCATGACTGCAGATAAGTACTAACCTAAGTAATATGCCAAGCACCAAGCCCACGGTAATTTCCAGTCTTTCCACCTCAAAATCCCATAGACCAGAGATAAATTCCTAAAACATTGTGATCTTGCCATGCAGGCACTTAGGTTCTATGGAAGCACTGATGTAACAGTCAATGGGATAACCATCCAGAACAGCCCTCAGACCCACCTGAAGTTCGACTCTTGCACAGATGTCCAGGTTTTTGGTGTTACTATATCTTCCCCAGGAGACAGCCCCAACACTGATGGAATCCATCTACAGAATTCCCAGAATATGCTGATTTACAGCACAGATATTGCGTCCGGTAATCCTCCATTTTCCTAACACCAAAGCAGTGTATCCTTCCTTCTGGGGCACCACAAGCACCTAATATTAACGAGTATCCCCTGGTCACTTGTTAAGTATACTTAGTTTGGAATAATTCAATTTTTAAAACATTTCGCATAACACGAGGACAGTCGATGCTTTGAAAACTATCGAGTTTCCTTTATTGAGTGCTTCACAAATGCCCCAGGGTACTCATTAACAAAAGCCTTCTCAGAATTAGTCCACCCAAAAGTCGCTCTACTATTCACAGACCTTTGAATGGTCTCCTCATTTTGGTCCAAATGATCAATAAAACTAGGACCAATAATTGAGTACCAATTTTTCTTTTGCAGGAGATGACTGTGTATCGATACAGACTGGATGCTCCAATGTGTACATACACAATGTAAATTGTGGACCAGGACATGGTATCAGTATTGGAGGACTAGGAAAGGACAACACTAAAGCTTGTGTCTCAAACGTCACTGTCCGAGACACAACATTTACTGGAACATTAACTGGGGTCAGGATAAAGACATGGCAGGTAAAAAGATCCTAAGCCGATAATAACCTCCACAATCTTTTTCGATTATCCACTTCATTAACAAAACAGTAACAACTCAACTTCAAATTGCAGCAAGGCAAAATTGATAATTGAATAACCAACAACCTACCTTTTTCGTAACTACAGGGAGGTTCAGGATCTGTACAAGATATCATGTTCTCCAACATCCAAGTATCTGAGGTTCAAACTCCTATTATGATTGACCAGTTCTACTGTGACAAAGGAACATGCAAGAATGAAACAGCAGCTGTAGCAGTTTCGGGCATAAACTACATGAACATAAAAGGAACTTACACAGTGCAAGCTGTACATTTTGCCTGCAGTGACAGCTTGCCTTGCATCGGTGTGTCTCTTACAACCATAGAGTTGAAATCAGTTCAAGGCAGACACTTGTATGATCCCTTTTGCTGGGAGACATATGGTCAGTTGAAAACCACCACAGAACCTCCAATCAGCTGCTTACAGAAAGGAAAGCCATCAAACTTACCGTCTAAGCTTGTTTCATGCTGAGTTTACGCAAAGAATTCTGCTAGATATACGTACCTTAGGCTTTATGTGATCTCTTCAACCGTATTTGGCTGACTACATAGGGAGGAACTATATGGAAATTTACACGTGTGTAGTGGAATCATCATTTTCTAGTGATAGAATTGAATTTCTACACAACAATATACAGGAATATACAGAAATATTTTTTCCATTTTAACAAAGGATTCCAGCAAAATATTCCATTTGTCAGAGACCACCAAGCACTTTTCTCCCAGTATTGCACAAGCACATTCAAAGATGAGAAACATAGTCTTTAATAATAATAATAGATAGACAAACCACCAAGCTGAAACATAGTATTCTTCGAGAAAACCAGATGGACCTATTCCATGGCCATGGTAGACAAACAAAAGAACAAGTGGTAATTCCAAACTAATTTGTTCAGTCTGACATTGCCTGTTTATAGGTGTACAGCTACATGTATAAGGTGATTCTATGGTGAAAAAATCAGGAAGTGAAGATAATTAATCTCATAAATGTTCTGTGATAAACAAGTGTAGCCTTTACAACTCATGCGTCTCATTCCCAACCATGATGAATATTCCAGCCAAATACTCAGTCGGAGAGACAACCCGGCACTTGCCTCTCAGGATTATATAAGCACATTCAAAAGATGAGAACCAAAGATCCAGTCTGGACACAAATCTTTGCAATCTCAATCACTTACAACTCATGCATGTTGCTCTCAATCATGAAGAAAATCTACAACCAAGACATCATTTCATGTTGCCTGCTAACTTGTTGACTTCTGCTCCTCCGCTATCTGCACTGTGCATCTCCCCACTCTTCCAAATGAAAAGGAATATCTAAATCAGTCCCCTCCAGGACATAACTCCCAAGAGTTATCCCTTTGAGCTTTCATTCTGCAATAGCCCCAAAAACATTGTCGCAAGTTTCACAATCAGTTGTCATTCCAACAAAAGTAACTTGGTGCCGCAAAACTGAGGAAAGCAGTAATTATCTCAGCACTTTAGTGAAGAACAGCTCACACTAGTTTATCCCACAGTTGTGAACATCTATACCTCTTTTAATATTGTTTTTTTGCAATACGGGAACTAAACTGCTTCTTTGCTTTCTTCTGTCAACTCCATAAACTCAGTTAGACATAAAGATAGCAAATGAGATCTGCAATATTTATGTCAGAAGATTATCAAGTATATGTCGTCTTGCCTCAGAAACAGATGTAATGTGTAAAACCTTATTATTGTCTCCAAATTTTATATGCACTCAAGAATAAAAGTGGCACATAATTAGGTCATTTATAGCATGAATCACTAGCAAATGTTAAAACTTTTATAATCAGCTACTGGCTTATTCTGACTAGGTTTGCATATAAGGTGAGCTTTTCTGCTTATAGAAAGCCATTTACTTCACCCTCATAATTCCGCAATACATTCATTAACAGTCCTTTGACCCAAAAAAATAAGCTACCAGCTTTGCTGTACTCACCCGAGTATCAACGCCCCTAATACAATCATGACTTGCCAAAACCAACAGCTACCCTCCTTCTACGTGTCTCTATCCGTTCAGGACTAGGCAATCCTGTCCTCTGCTCATACTTCTTCTCCAAGGCCTGGACAAGCATCAAAATTTAATGACGAAAATATATGAAGAAAATGAAGATGCATAGAAAGAGATGAGAGATGCACAAGCAAACCAGTCCTTCCACCCCAAAATTCTTCTATTAATGCAAGATGTCAAATGCCCCGATCCTGCTAAAAACTCCATGTCTAAGAAACACTAGACCTTCTAATGGCCTATAAGCAAAAAGCAATTAGTCATCCTTTTTTGAATTCAATAAGAGACAGGGCTACTCTGAATAAGTAAACGAGACTTCTCTCTTGGATAAATAATCTGAAAGGATTTTCTAAAAGAGATTGCAAATAGAGAAGGCTAGAAAACTAAATAAACTGAAATTCGATAACATCCAAAGTAGAAAACATTTCAGTGTTCCTGAAAGCAATCATCAGGCTTATATGTTGCCTCATTCAAGTAAAGATGACTCCTCCACATGAGGGATTTCCAAAATGGTATGTTTTTTCTTAAAGGAAAATCAAAATCAAGTTGATACTTGACATCCATAGAGCATTTCATGGGGATAACTTCAAAGTTCTTAAACATGGATCATGGCAGATATTTTGATAAATGTACAAACCAGAAATGACCGGCACTAAGTGTGTATCAACTCACCTCCAGCTCTGCACGTATCGTGTCAAGTACTTGTTCAGTCATTCTATCAGAGAAGACAATCCCCTGCAACACATTATTTTATATAAGAATAGATTGACGATAGCCATGAATGTGTAGAATGCCTTGACATGAAAAAGCAAGCCCTTCTCTGGGACATGAGCTACAAAGGCAAGATAAAGTTCACTTATAAGGCAAGAAACAGAGGATCATCTCTTCACGCATTCAAACCAAGATACGCTTAGACTTAGAAATATCATGTATGCTGAGAATCAATGGCCAAACTGATTTTTTTCACTGAAAGCTTGCCCATGCCAGTGTAACACATGGGAGGGCCAAACTAGCGTAAAAGATTTTGCTCAAACTAAGAGTAGGTGAATTCATGCATAGCCAGTTTAGGCCGCCCAATGATCCACTGTCTAAGTTTTGGGTATGCAATTCAAAACTAGGCATGCATGGTAGCCATGTTGCTTCAACAATGCTCTAAGAATTTCTTCTAAAAATGTCTGATAACAACTGCAAGGAGTAACAGTTATGTGATCATCCTTCTTCCAAAAAGCAACTAGTCTCCTCTTGCAAACAAGCAACTGGGCTGACGGTTGCATCCAGCTTTAGAACCTTTGTTGTCAACTACAATTTCATTAATTTTGGTCATTAAATAATGCAGAAGTTACTAGCATTGAAGTCCAAGTAATACTTGACTACAGCTAAATATCTCTTTCATGCTGTCCAATACATTTTCGCTCTCTTGTACTTTATTTATAGCAAGAACATAGTAGAGCAATAGTTTTGTGAATTTATTATAAAGAAATCAGTACCACACATACACAAATGTCTGGAGTACCCGAAGTATTTTTGAAAGTAAATATGAACGTTTTTTAAAGTACACGACATGATGTTAAAAAAATCCATACTTGCAAATGGTCGAATTCATGCTGGAAAACTCTTGCAGGAAGACCAGATAAGCTGACAGTAAACCTTGCACCACTGATATCCAGAGCATCAATCTTCACAGCTTCTGGTCTCTGCATATAACACAAGACAGATTTACTCCAACAAGCAAATAAAATTTCATAGATTCGCTAAGAAAAAAAATCACTGCAAAAAACGAGCAATTTCTCACTGCAAGCCCTTAACTGGAAGGACTCAAGCTGCCACAGGTCCACAACTATATCTTCGCCCAAAAAAGATGCTTCTACTATAAGACATTGCGCGTAGAGATGACAACAACCTTTATACCAGCTCACATATCACACAAATCAGCACCCTCCAGATCACATACATAAACAAAGGGAAAACAAGTATGTTGAAGAGAAAAATAGTGAACTAAGTACAAATTTCTATGTTGGACCTATAGTAAAATATTGCCTTCCCTCTCCTAATTTCTTCCTGGCCTCTGCCTTAAGACTTGCCAAAGGTAAGATCCAACTATTTCAGCCATTACTCTCAAGAACCAAGCCATGTCATCCAAAAAATCCATTCTCTCCTACAAGTAGCATTTCAACTCAAGGAAGTCCAACACCCACGCTGCAGCAAGAAGCGAGAAATATACCTGCACGTCAGCATAAATACCAGGGAACGAAAGGCAACCTTCATTAAAGGGCACCGTCTTTTTGGAATATTTAATAACTCTTGGATTCACAAGAACAATCTCCTCTCCCTCCCCGCGTTCACCGACGGGATTGAACACCATGAGCTGGACATTAATCCCTACTTGGGGAGCCGAGAGTCCAATACCATCAGTACTGCAGAAAAGGAAGCCATAGCATTCAACTCCTGTAACCGCGTATCCAACAATGACTAGGAGGCACATGACAAGAACAGAGACAAACTCCGGTTACAACGGCCAAGTGATCATTAAGCATGTGTCCGCAAACACTGACTACAGAGCATCGACGCCAAAACATCGCAAACCGACACCACCACCCGCATTGAAGCAAATGAAGAGCTTACTTGTACATCACATCGAACATCTCGTCCGCTAACTTCTTCAAATTGTCGTCAAACGTCCCAATCCGCTTGTTCTTCGCCCTCAGCACAGGGTCCGGATACTCCACTATCTTAAGCGGAGCCTCGAATTGAAGATCATCAACTAAAAAGCAAACCAGAAAAAATGAGCATCTCACATACTCGAAACTCCTCCAACTCTCAACCCGAACCAAAGTATCTGTAAACGGAGAATTTGTACGAAATGAAATAGCTGCTTACCCGAAGCGAGATCGTCGTCCTTGGATGAGAAGCCTCGCTTGGCCTGCGCGCGAACGGGCAGCGACGGCGGCGCGTGCCGGACGGCGGGGGAAGTGGACGGACGTGTCGAAGGGAGGCGACGGAGGCGACCGGAGGCGGACGGAGGAGGAGGAGGGCGGAGACGGAGGCTGAGACGAGGTAGGAGAGAGTGGGGGATGATGAGGGAAGATAAGTGGAGGCGAACGGCAGAAGCCATGGCCGTCGGTGATAAGCAGCAGGAGCGGCAAGCGCGACGGCGACGGGATTTTTTTGTCCGGAAAATCTTCGAGCCTTTTGCGTTCTAATTTCCTTTTGTCTTTTTCTTTTTAATTTGTTGAATCATATTTTGCAACATGACATATTTTGCTTTTATTTGTGGGAAAATTTCAAGTAAGACCATGAAATACCCTCATATTGAAAATGGATATTGTGTCAAATAATGAAGTGACCATTTCAATTTCAAATAAGAGTCTGACATTGCCGATCACCAACCAGCTAAATATTTCGAGCAATTAAAGGCATTTTTCGTCCAATTTTTTTTTTCTTTTTTTGGTTTTTCTTTTTCGCCAATGACTGGAGAGGGCTGGCCAAGGGTCGCCCTTGCCCGATCTAGTGAGGGCCACCCTCAACACCCGGCGAGGCTGTCCCTTGCCATATGGGTGAGAGTCGTCTCGCTAGCTGCCGACAAGGAACGGCCTTGCCCAAGCAAGGTTACCCTTCCCTCGGCGAGGGTCTTGCTTGTGGCTTTCGAGGGCCAACCTCGCCTTATAGCTAGCAAGGTCGTCCCTCGCTAGATCAAGTAAGAGCAACCCTCGGCAAGCCTTCTCCGGGCGTCACTAGTGATAATAAAAGAAAAATCAGTAAAAGGAAAAAAGAAAGAAAAAAAGAGAAAAAATAATTAAAAAAAAGATAAATGATGAAAATGTCTTTGTCAGGCTCTTATTTGAAAATGGACATGGTCGCTTCAAGGTTCAAGCCCTTTTTTGAAATAAGATCTACTTCATACCCTTATTTTAGAAAATGAGGGCATTTCAAGCCCTTATTTGAAATAAAGCCCACTTCAGGGCCCTTATCTGAAAATTTCCCCGTATTTGATGATTTTTTTTCCTTTAAAATTTAGAATCTCGTCATAATATTAAGTTTAAAAAAAAGATAATCACTCAAATGGTCAATAAACTTTGGCTCAATATGCAATGTGGTTCGTGAACTTTAAATTTGTTCAATGTGGTCCGTAAAATTTTAGCACATATTCAATTTAGTCCACGGACTATATAAAATGGCTCAACGTCATTTCATTAATTCAAGTTTAGGGATAACATTAAATATTTTCACACAATTTAAGGACTAAATTGAATATATACCAAGAGTTTATGGACCGTACCGAACAAATTAACATTTCGGAGATAATATTGTAAATTGGGCTAAAGTTCAAGGATCAAATCGAACAAATTTAAAGCGTAGGGGTCAAGTTTCATAACGGGCCCAAAGTCCAAAGGTCGCCTGCGTCGTACACCCTTTAAAAAAAAAATCAACAAGCTAAACGGCGCCGTCGGTACACGCACATTCTGTGTGCTTCTTGGGGCGGTGGTTTTTGTTTTTTTCTTTTTTTCTTCTCTCTCGGGGGACTTTGAAATTCCATCCTTTTCGCATCGAGAGGTCATTATTAAGCAAACCCCCCGAGCGAAGACGCGATTCCCCTTCGTTCGAAAGCTGCGGCTCCCCTAGAGAGAGAAACAAAAGAGGTACTTCTCCTCCTCCTCCTCCTCTTCCTCCTCGTTTTCGATCTCCATCCGTCGTCGAGATTCGCCTCCGATCCGCGTCGATTCCTCGCGCGGATCCGCTCGCCGCCGCCGTGAACGCGCCCGATCACGCAATCGCCGCTTTTCCGGCGATGATCTGCCCGGACTCGTCGGATCTGCCGAAGTAGCCGGCTAGATTTCGGATTCGCGGTCGTTTCGTCGGGCTTTGCGTTGGCCTGTTGCGCCGATCGTCGGATTCGCGGCTCTCCGGGGGTTTATTTTTGGTTTAGATCTGCATTTCTGATTGAATGTTTGCTGTTGGGATTCGGTTGGTTTTGGTTTGCTAGATCGATTTGCGTTTGAATCGTTGCGGTTTTTTTTGTTGTTGTTGGTGGCGTTGCTGGTGCGAAGTGATTCTTTCTGGGCTGAGCTTGGAGCGTTTGGGACCATGGGGCTCACGTTCACGAAGCTGTTCAGCCGGCTCTTTGCCAAGAAGGAGATGAGGATTCTGATGGTGGGTCTTGACGCTGCTGGTAAGACCACCATCTTGTACAAGCTTAAGCTCGGAGAAATCGTCACCACCATCCCCACTATCGGTGAGTCCTCCAATGCCCGGCATGGTTTCCAATCGAATACAGTTGCCTTGTCTTTTGTATCTGCAGTGCTGTGAGATCTCGTGTCTGATTTATTGATAGGTCGTGATGCGGGAGGATATACTGTTGTCATTGCTCGTTGTTTTTTAACGGTCTAGAATTAAGTACCGAGAAGAATTTGCACCTCGTAGGTGCGCATTAGAATGAGCTACCAGCCTCCACGTGCCGTAATTATTTGACTATGAATATTCAATCAGAGTTTGTTTGCATCGATATGGTCTATTGTGATCGATTGGTTGCAATGAGTAAATTTTAAGGGACAGCACAGTAGAAGAGCAATCATTTGAATTGATTTAGATTTTCTAACTGGTAGGTGAGGAAAGAGGTACCGGCTGCGATTTGTTGTCCTTGAAACTAAATCTAGTTATATGAGTGGATAGGATGTTTGGGCTGGTTGGGTATCCGCTCCTGTCCATTGAGTACTTGACTTGTGGTATCAACTCTTAAATCTTGTTTTGGTGGCTCTTCACGTTAACCCAAGGTAAACATGTAACATGTTTTGACTTTTTTTTTTCCACTGTGATTGATATGGCTTCCTTTTTTTTTCTGTAGGATTTAACGTTGAGACAGTTGAATACAAGAACATCAGCTTCACAGTTTGGGATGTTGGGGGCCAGGACAAGGTTGCTCTATGTGCCTCTTGATGCTTGCTCCTTTATAGCTTTCCACATGCTTTTGTTTCCTGCTTGCATGCCATCAGAAACTAAAATAGAGGCAGGATGACCCAACAGTTATTAAAATCCCATCTTCTGAAAGGCACGTGTACTTCAGCTCGGTTTTCTACTGACTCACTGACACATCCACCCCACATGGTTCAAAATTTTTCTGGCTATACCTGTAATTCAGTACTGCAGATTTTTTTTATTGACCACTCCAACATAGGCATATCTTGCGTTAGTTGGTGCATGGTGCAATAATATGGTAATTATCAAGCACATGCTTGCATCTCATACTTTGTGTTACAAGATGACTAAAATATGAATCATAGCGCTCTCTTTCGTGGCATCTCAAAGCATTGTTAATTGTTATGCAAATGGACTAAACTTCTACTTGACTTCAAATGCAGATCCGTCCATTGTGGAGGCACTACTTCCAGAACACACAAGGTTTAATTTTTGTTGTGGATAGCAATGATAGAGATCGAGTTGTTGAGGCGAGAGATGAGTTGCATAGAATGCTGAATGAGGTATTGCTGCATTTCTGTTTTGGACAATTTTACTGTAAATCATATGTCTAATATCTATTGAGCAGAGTAGCTTGTGGTGAGAGGCAAAGGCTTGCATAAGTGATGACATTGATCTTTTTGCCTTTTTTGGATTTACTCTATATTGAAGTTCTTTTCTCATGAACAGCGACGTATAAATAGATATGAGCAACACAGTGATGTCTATTGTACACTGTTTTAGCTTGAATTTGTAGATGATGACCTTTTCCCTAATTGTTGCCCGACCAACTTGTTTTGTTTTCAATTTTTTTATTTTTTTGTGGATCTATGGATATGATCTTTCGAGTTTCTTTATACATGGTGTAGACGAGTTTTGCTGTACTGCAGTTCTATTTGATGCTCGTGGACAAGGAAAAACAGTGCGATTAATGTTTGAGTCTTGTTTTGTCAGGATGAGCTGAGAGATGCTGTTTTGCTTGTGTTTGCGAACAAACAAGATCTTCCTAATGCAATGAATGCAGCTGAAATAACTGACAAGCTTGGTCTTCACTCACTCCGTCAACGCCACTGGCAAGAGACTATCCCTTGTTCACTCTTAATTATTCTTTTCTTCAGAAATATTGCTTTTAAATGTTGTTACGTCACATCCAGCCTATGATGCTTGAGAATTCATCGAGTGAAATGAACATTTTTGCTTTTGCAATTTTGGTGGAAGCTCATAAGTATGGACAGTGCCTAGGTTTATCTTAATAAGTGAGGCTGAATATGAGAACTGCATGAACTGATTTTTCATTTGGATCTGGGCCTCTCCTGTGAAATTGTTGCATTTACTATCTTTTTTTTCTTCTGAAAGTTTTTCGGATGTGATGATTTATCTCAGGTACATCCAGAGCACCTGTGCAACATCTGGAGAAGGCCTTTACGAGGGTCTGGATTGGCTTTCCAACAATATTGCCAGCAAGGTAATTAATGGCCCGTGCATTGACTTCCTGATATAGCTTTTGATTATTGCTGAAACTTGGTCATTGGTAGGGGTAGCGTGGGTGGATTTGGGGCCATTGCTAAGTTAGTGTGGAGCCCGAGTCTTATCTTAAGAAACTGGACTGGATTGATCGTTTCCAACAGTCAAAAGGGAACTACTGCATATTTTCGGTCCAGTACTATTGGGTATTATTAATTATGAAAGGAAGCTTGCAAGGCCAAAAGGCTCAGAATTGTGACCTGTAATCAGTACAGGGAACGCTATAACCATTCTGCTTTACTGCTGAAGCAGCTCTTTGTAATGGTGACAACTTGTGCTTTAGTTTTCGTGCAATTTTTTGTAAAAGAGATGGTGGTATGTGCGACTTATTTGGTGGGGCTATGGTTCCTACGCACACTAATATACCCTGGTGGCCAAGATTTGTTTCTGCTATGTTTATATTCCTGGTTTAATTGGTCGAGCCTTTGACCCCTTTCCCCTGTTTTCTCTGGTTCTCTGTTATAGACATCCACTTGATTTGGGCATTTCATCACTTCTCATTTTCTGATTGGGACAACCATTTTCTTCCCCTGTTTTTTTCAGGCTTGAGATCTCTTGAGGATTTTGACTGGCTTCACGACGGGGCACCAGAATTATGTTTGGTCTGAAAGGATTTAGTCTTTGTTTTGCTGTTGATATACTGTTGTGAAAGCTCGAATGGTTTGCTAGAGCTTTATCTGTGTAATGTGACATGGGATTGCATAACTGCTGTTTTTGGCTGAACACTTTTAAGCAGTACAAATGGCTCTGTAAGACCTTTTTAAATTTGCCCATTAAGGTTTGTATGGAGATTAAATCAAAGCTGTATTATGAATGATACCTGCATAAGGTCCCAGCAGATTCTCTTGACTCAAAATGTAATGTTAACAGTAATTTTTTTCCTTCTAGATGCTAGAACGTTTGCCACCAGGTCATCTGATTTGATGATGGAGCAAGGGATGGGCATGTTTCATTGTTATAAACTCAATGGAGCAGAGGAGACATTTTAGGACTTGTTGTCCCCTTTAAGGGGGCTATTTGGAAATTAAGCCTGGACGCACTTAGGTGTCATCAAATTTTGTATCATCTTAAAAAAAAAAAAAAATCTACTCCAAATTTCTAAGTAGACATTATTTTTACTATCACAATCCAAATTACGAGCGCATGGTTGCTTCCGTGCTCTTTAAGACATGCGAACGATATCCGCGTCTGAAAAAATCTGTATTTGATTGTGAAAAATCAAATCGAGCGTTGTGTGAATCTCGAAACTTTTCCACACGGTAAAATAAAAATAGAAGTTAACAGGAAAAGGACATCATGAGTCAGAGGTTGGTAGCAATGTGACTCTGTGTAAAATTACGGGTAGCTCTCATATTGTGGACGAATGGCGCGAATTAGTGGAGTAAAATTGGAAAATTCGCATGGTATTTTCTTCATTTGAAAAAGGGGCATCTGAGTCCAAAGAAAGCTTTTTTTTACCTCAAAGGGACGCGGATGCAATCAAATTTTTTTTGGAGGGGGTGCGGTGGAAGTAGAAAACAATAAAAAAAAAACTCCGATATTTATCGAAGAGCTGCTCCCGCAACGACGTCGTTGAGGTTCGGGTCGCCGTTGAAATCTCGTCACCTCCCTTCCCTTCCCTTCCCTTCCCTTCCCCCATTTCACACCGACAGACGTCGTTGTTAAGGCAATTGCGAGTGCCCCCGACGTTCGTTCCAACGCTGCGTCGCCTCCTGCAGACACACGGACGGACGGACAGACAGAGAGTCCGAGGTAGCTCCTTTCCTCCTCCTCCTCCTCCTCACTCGTTTCGATCCAATGCCTTGTCGGCGGCGCATCGTTGTCGCTCCGGCGTTGATTTCTTGCGCAGATCCACTCGCCATCGCCGTCGGGCGCACCTTGATCTGCATGCCCTCATCGGATCTATCGAATTGCTTAGCAGTACCTCGAATCCATTGTCGTGTCGTCTGGTCATCGGATTTGACCTTTTCTTGTACGGATGCATTTCGATTTAGATCTGATACCGACTGTTGAGCGATTGCTGTTTTGAAATTTTCGCTCGCGTTATTTTCCGAGACTGATTCTGTGTTTGTTGCCCGCTTCTGTCGGCGCGGCGGCGGCGAAGTGATTCTTTCTGGGCTGAGCTAGAGCGGTTGGGACCATGGGGCTTACGTTCACGAAGCTGTTTAGCCGGCTCTTTGCCAAGAAAGAGATGAGGATTTTGATGGTGGGTCTTGACGCCGCTGGTAAGACCACCATCTTGTACAAGCTCAAGCTCGGAGAAATCGTCACCACCATCCCCACTATTGGTGAGTTCTTGAAATGGCATCCTTGTTCATAAGTGAATCATTGGTTTATATATTGGTGAAAGGAGATCTTGCGTCTGGTTTATTGTGCATCCAGTATTAAGTCGCAAGAGGATCATGAATCTCCTAAATGCATCGCAATGAGCTGCTGTTAGCTTATATCGAGCGGTCCAAGTTTGAATCTTCAATTTGGATTCGCGTTCATTTGATCGGCGCGGCTGCATTTGTTGTCCTGCAATGAGCATGGAAGTCATTTAAGGAAGCGCTGTAGAAGAGCAATTATTTGAACGAATTTGAATTCTCTGACGGGTAGATGAGATAAAGATACGGTCTGACATTCGATGGACTTGAACCGAATGATGAGTAGATAGGACTTTCGTGTTGCTAGTATTGGAACTATGAATGTCATCATTCGCTAGTAATCGTACTGATTGTTCAGTGAGGCAGTCTTGGCAGTCAAGCTTTTGTGGACTCTTCCTTTTCATGCAAAGTAAACATGTTTTTCCCAGTCTTACTGGAATGAGAGTATTATCTGCGGAATAGAGATCTTCTGAAAAATAGGGTGAACCGATGCTTGGACAGATGCCTGTCCGTGGAAATTCATGGGATAAGCAAGTTGAGTACGAAGGCTCTAGAATTGTTATTGTTCTAGACAATAATCTTCATTTTTTATGTGAGATTATTAGGTGGCTATTGGAATGCATGCTTCTTGTGGCCCAATAAATGCTTGATGGTGGTTAATCAGAACAATTTGGGGACTATTTTGTTTATTTTTCTAACTGTATAGGATAGCTTTTGGGTCATTTTCTTTATTCTTGCCTATACGTCTAATCTGCTGTTGTATCCCTTGTCATTTGGTGAGCCTTGCCCATGTTGACTTTTTCATGTTCATAGTGATTAACAGAGCCTTTTATTTTTGTAGGTTTTAACGTAGAGACTGTTGAATACAAGAACATCAGCTTCACAGTTTGGGATGTCGGTGGCCAGGACAAGGTTGCTCAATTTGCCCTCTTGATTTTTATTTCTGTAACTTTTCATGTGCTTTTGTTCACCACTTACATGTAAGAGCGAGCAAGTACAGAAGCAACAAAATCTGTAGATTTCAAAACCCTGTCTCCTAAGGGGGAGATAATGTTCAGCTCAGCGTTCTTCTGATTAACCTCCACATTCACCCTACATGCTGTAAATGTTATGTAACTAGGGTTCCCCCATTCTCTTCTGTTTAGTACTGCTGACTTTGATTGACCACTCCGACCTAGGCATATATGGCCTTTATTGATGTCGGATATCTACATCAAGCATATGCTCATACCTCACATTTTTGTGTGAGATCACTGAAATTTTTTAAGTGTTGTCCCTATCTGTTTTTTTAGCACATCCAAACCAAGCTTTGAATCATGTGGACTGATGCAGCTTCTACTTTGCTCCAAATACAGATCCGTCCATTGTGGAGGCACTACTTCCAAAACACGCAGGGTTTAATTTTTGTCGTGGATAGCAATGATAGGGATCGAGTTGTTGAGGCAAGAGATGAGTTGCATAGGATGCTGAATGAGGTAGCACTGCGTTTCATTTTGGGCTAATTTAGTGCTTCTATAGTTCTCTTCATCTACTGAATAGGATTGCTTGTGGCGAGTGGCAAAAGGCTTATTCTTACATGAGTAGTGACTATTATTGACACACTTGACATCGAAATATTATAGTTGCTTTTATTGGTTTACTCGACATCAATGTCTTTTGCTTCTGGATCCTGATATTTTATTGAGGATATTTACAAGCAGAGAGTTTTCTGTCGTACCTTCTGAGCTTGTAGCTGTTAATGATGATCTATTGTCGTTCTTTGGCTTTGTCAACCTTTCCTTCGGTACTTTCCTTGTCACAGATAGCATTTCTAGTTGTTTTTCATAAAAAAAAAACTTTATTATGATTTGAAAATTCAAACGGGAACATGGTGCGTGCTTTGCAGCTGTTTGTTTACTGATCTATTAAATAGATTGCGAAAGTCTTTACGAGATTGGATGCGCACGTTGCTGGACTGCAGGTGTCTTTGACGTTTGTGGAAAAAGAAAGTCTTCCAAATTGCTGGTTTTATTAACATTTCACTTTTCAGGATGAACTGAGAGATGCTGTGTTGCTCGTCTTCGCCAACAAACAAGATCTCCCTAATGCAATGAATGCAGCGGAAATAACTGACAAGCTTGGTCTTAATTCTCTCCGTCAACGCCACTGGTAAGAGCTTATCTCTGGGTGGAAGTGCATAGCTCTTTTTAGTTAGTGATGTTGAATTAAGAACTATGTTCATCTGGATCTTGGTCTTTCTGGTGAAATGGTTTCATTTGATGCGTATGTTTTTCAGAAAGTTTGCATCATGGATTTTCCCTCTGATAAGGAATGTCATGGTTTTTCTCAGGTACATCCAGAGCACATGTGCAACCTCCGGAGAGGGCCTTTATGAGGGTCTGGACTGGCTTTCCAACAATATTGCCAACAAGGTAAGCGATAGCCCATGCGTTGATGCAGCCATTATATCTGCCAAGATTGGATGATCAGTTGGAGTAGAATGGGTGGATTCGTAGCCATTGCTTATTTATTGTGGTGTCCAAATCATGCTTAAGAAAACTGGCCTGGATCAATCTGTCCAATCAACTAAAAGTTGGAACTGGGTGGGTCACTCCATTAAGTTGACACCTTCGAGCCATAAACTGTACAAAACCACATTGAACAGGTCAACTTCTGTCAAAGTAGCTTCAGTCTTGCACAATCACAATAAAAGGAAACGTGCAACCTGCATGCTTAAAGCTCAATGTTATGAGCTGCAATGAGTAGAGAACATTAACCACTCTGCTGCATTGTGTGGCAGCATTTAGTAATAATGACGACTTAAGTTCCAGTTAGTACACTGCTTTTGTAAATGAAGATGGTTCTAGTGCGGATTTGGTGGCATGTGGTGCTCGCGCTTTGGGGCCATGGTTCCTGAGCACAATGTCGACCATGTTAGCCAAGAGTTCTTTTGTTCTGTTTATACCCATAATAGTTTTGCTACCGCAATGAAATGAAAGATTTCCCGGGGTAAATTGGCCAGGCCACCGCCTCGCACCCCAGACTGCGTTTGACCTGTTCTGCTTTTTATAGACATTTACTTCGGTTTTGGCTATTTATATTCTGATTGGGAGAACAATCCTTCATCCTGTTTTTCAGGCTTGAGGCATTTGGGGATTTTCATGGGCTTCTCAGCATGGCACCAGAAGCACGCGGTCCGTAAGGGATTAGTTTTTGTTTTGTTGTCGGTATACTATTGTAAAAGCTCAATTGGTTGCTTCAACTTTATATGTCATGCGACATGGGATTGCATTACTGCTGTTTTGGCCAACACTTTTAAGCGGTAAAAGTGACTCGCAAGACCTTTTGGATTTCCTGGCAAGGTTGACATGGGGTTAACTGAGCTGTATTAGGATTTTGCAGAAGTTCAAGTGGATGTCTATCCTTGCGACCTCGTATGATCTGTTTTCTTGTTTATCTATTTGAAAACATCCGAAGCCCGCAGCATGTATAAGCTCAATATTTTAAATTTGATGCTGCTACTGCCTTCATCGCCCTTACAAGACAGAATGGCGCTCGAGTTTCATGACCGGTGGAAGAAGTTCTCTTTTTGTGTTTGCTGGAAATGTATTACTGTTTTTGCTGATCGTTAATCTTCTGGCTAGACCCATTGTTAGGGACTTGAGATGACTTCTTCGTTAGGACCGGAGTGTACTTCGTTTCTCGCCTGCGCAGCCTAATGATAAGGTAATAAGGTGTTGCCTAATGACGATAATTTATTAGAGGCCATCTCAACGTCATATGATTCATGCAGATACGATCGCATATGTCTATCGAGCAAGAGATGCCCCGTGCTGAGATCATTCGTCTCAATTACTGATTGACTACCTAATGTCTCACTTAGGTGGATATCTTTTTGGCTCGTTAATTTTCTCTTACCACATTGATTTTCCTTTTTCGTCAGCTAAATTTTCTGTAGCTACTCAGAAGTTTGATGATATATGCAGCAACTAATGTGTGTACTTAAAATCGATATTGGACTCGTGCGTACTGTAACTCATGACTATCACGGTCAAATTATCCTCGAAGCCAAATTAAAAGCAAAGGGTGACTATTTTGTCGCTTACAAAGGCGGTTAGGTAGAAAGCTGTCTGCTCTCATGCAAGATTATTAAACATCCTGAACCGGCCCTAAGTTGTTTCGACAGTTCAAACGCCCTCTATATAAACCGTGGCTTGCTCGTTTTGCTCGACAGTGCTTCTCTCACTCTCTCTCTCTCTCTCTCTCTCTCTCTCTCTCTCTCGCTGTCTCTTCTCAAGATGGACGGGAAACCATGCTACTGCACACAGGATCCTGAAGTGAGAAAAGGACCATGGACCCTTGAAGAGGATCTGATTCTGATAGACTACATGACCAATCATGGCGAAGGCGTATGGAACTCTCTTGCTAAAGCTGCTGGTAAAATAGTCTTGAATTTGTTTCTTATTACTGTTGGCAATGTTTCTCTTGTTCATACCCTTCTTTTGTCCTTGTTCTTTTAAGATGATCTCCCATATCGATTATGGCAGGTCTACAGCGCACCGGAAAGAGCTGCCGGCTTCGATGGTTGAATTACCTCCGCCCCGACGTCCGGAGAGGTAACATCACTCCCGAAGAACAGCTCTTGATCATACACCTGCAGTCCATGTGGGGAAACAGGTGATTTTCGCATCCTATTCTGTGAACGTTTCTTTATTTTCTGATTACATTCCTATCGACGCAAAACGAAGGTATTTAAGGCGCATTCGTATACCATTAGATAATCGACAAATTTCTCATAACTCTGCACATCTAAATCAACTGCAAAAGTCTCTCATAACTATCAGATCACTTGATTTTCCAACGACGGTGCATCGGAAGAACGTTCAAAATTACCCCGTGAAAAAGCTGAGAATAAAGCAAATCATCTATCAATGGACATGCCTATCTCGCATGCTGGACTCTAAATAGCAAAATCCCTTTCTCTCCTTGTTTCCTACCGTGTTTTTGGGTACCCTACGTTTGAATTCTATCGTTGAGACCTCATAAAAGGCACAACCATTCGGAGGAAGAGAATCGTAGGAGATCTGCTTGGTGGGGCTCATGCATTTCAATTCCAACGCATGGGAGTAATTGTGGAGCTTATTTATAGCCACGGCCACTACTTTTGTTCTCGTGACCAACCAAATAGCCCCATACTATACACATTCCAATGCTCCCATCGAGATATATAAGCTATGACTTACGCCGTGCTCTGATAACTTAAACCTTCAGAGTAAAACGATTGTGCGCGCTCAACTTCACGCGCTAATGTTATAACCAGAGATGTCTCGAGTTCGGTTCATCTCGCATCCTCCTCTTACTCGTTTACGCGGGTCTCTTTCTTTACGATGCCGTGGATCGAATTTCAACAACCATCGCCAAAAGCACGGGGGGTTGTTAAGATATATAACATATTTCGCGTCATACTTTAATAGTTTAAAAATTTTCCCTCTCTATAGTTCTAAAAGTCTTAATGCAAAGTTATCGCTAGAACTTGGGGTCGTGGACCTTGGAGGATGTAAAAGGTTTAAAGGCGTGCCCAAAAGAATTTCAATTAGACTTTCGACGTGTGTGCGGCTTTTTTTTTTTTTTCTATTTTCGTAAATGAACTCGTTCGATTATCGTCATCCTGAGAGTTTCTACTGTATGAAAGAACGACCGTTTTACCATTTTCAGGTGGTCCGAAATTGCGAAGCACTTGCCGGGGAGGACCGACAACGAAATAAAGAACTACTGGAGGACCAAGATCCAGAAACAAATGATAAAGCAATCAGAAACTGAGATTAATGATCTTATTAATCCTCCATCGTCTGCGAGCGCGAGCGCTAATCATTGCGGGGTCTCAGCCGCAGATACGACGGCAATCGCCTATTCTCCGGCGCCGCCGTCGGATCGAGGCGACCTCGGCGGAATCACGGTCACGCCCCCTCCGCCTTCCCAAGCGCCGAACCCGAACGACGGCGTTTGCTGGGGCGTGGAGGATCTCTCGCCCATGTAGTCACTAATTGGTGGTATTGGCCATGATGCCTAATATTATCCCGTCCAGCTTTAATTAAACCGGCAAATCGTGACATGATCAACAAAGAAAAGAAGGGCTCTGATATTGGGTCTGTACGTTGTAGCTTGCTAGGTAGGTCTTGTAGTTATAGAGAAAAGGCCACAACATATTATTATTTCATACGTGATATGTTTTGTACAATCAATTGTGGCTTGTGCAAGTGTATTTTAACTAGGTTGTAGCAGCGGCAACAAATCTATTGGAATAAGAACTTAGAGATGTTTTCTGTACAACTAGATACCAAACGTTGAACTCGGTTGAAACTCGCGAACACACGCGATCTACTTCGTGTGCGTTGTTTCTAAGGGCAAGCACCGGGTCCGGTTCGACCCGGAAGCCGGATCAAACCGGTCCAGACTGACTGGTCCAAGATTTGATTCTAGGAAAACCGGTCCGATTCCCAATTCCACGAACCTAGAACCAGACAGAGACCAATTTGAAGCCTCTTTAAGAAAATTTATATAAAAGCACCTATCAAGAATTGAACCATAATTTTCAACATAAACACTTGACCAACAAATGCTTTTGTAGTGAAACTGTGCAACTATTATACTTGATTATAAGAATCTATTATCTTATCCTAGCTAAATGTTAAATGACTGGGTTTCCCATTAAAATCGAGAAACTAATCAAACCGGCCGGTTCATGAACTGGCAATTCCAGAACCGACCGGTTCGATTTCCGATTCCAATCTGTTGGAACCAAGCATCATAGGGCCATTCCTCGATTCTAGGCGAGGAACCGACCCGCCCTGAAACCGACCATCCCAGTTGTTAGACAATTTATAAAACTACAAAGCATACCCAATCGTTTCCTTACTGTAACCACTGCAACAAGTGTGTGACATTTAGCAGTACCAAAGACCAGGTCACTCTACACATATGGAGACCATTTGGATGTTTTTGGGGTCTCTATGAATCCCGCCGCATCGATGGTTTCCAGGAACACACGCGGGATCGACTTCGAAGTTGTTGGCTTCCCTAAGAAAGCTAAAATGACTTTGCGGTCGAACCTGTCATTATCCTCCTCGCGGATCGCCACCATTTCCTCTTTCATTCGTGAACATCCGAAGGGGGCTGTCTTGCATCGAAGCACATGGAGGAAAACCCAAAGAAGAGGAAAAGAACGTGCCAACCCAATTTGAGCCGCTCGAGTGTTCTGTCATACCTTGGCCTTTTCACTTCGGTTGCACATTTCAAATGTGATGAAATTCGAGGTACGAAGCATCATCCTGTGTGGATAACGAAAGAACACGTGACGGCCGTCGGCCGTGAAGGCACTTAAAACGTGAATTCTGTGCTTGCGAACGACTTTTGCTCTTTAGCTATTTTTGCCTACTGCATTATCCCACCTCGGTCACTCCAAACCTAGTGGTCAGCATATCTTCAAAGCAGTATCATTGGGATCGGTCCAATTCAGTCCATATCTCGCTTTATTAGCTATACCGATTTCAGAACGAATACGTTTTTTTAGGACTAATTCCTACGAAATGCACATAATCACAAGCAAGGTCGCGGATCCTCGAACTACAGAAGCCGTGAGAGAGGGTACCGAGTTCTCTCAACAAAACACGTGCAGAAAAAAACGATGCGACAAGACTGTTACGCATTCCGGTGTCGGGCTCGTCCGAACACTCGATGTGGACGCGATCTCGATGCACCGAGCGGGTGACTATGTGTTCTAGGGCAACGTACTAGTTAAATGGGAGATGGCATGGACGATGGAAGTAACCGAGTGCCAAAGCGGGCGTTGCCGGATTCTTGGGCCCAAAGTGGGACGACCCTTCTTCACAAGAGCAGTCCCACGTTGAAAACTCGTGGGTTTGGGTTTGGGTTGGGTGGGGTGGTTAGACCCACGAGCCGAAAAGGGCCCCCCCCCCGACGTTTCATTGGATTGATATTATAGGGGGGGGGGTCAACGCAATAATTGACCCGACTTCCCACGTCTCTATTGTTTCATTTTTCACCTTTTTCTAATTGGAGTGGGGTTCTTAGTAAAGTTGTGGAATGCAAAACTCGATGCTTCCCCTGGGGTTGCGTTGGTTATCTTTATCCCCAAGGTTCGTTGCTACTTTCGAGCGCCTCCGAGCAAATTTATTAAGCCTGATCGGATGCGTACGCCCCCTTATTTAAAGTCCCAATAGGCAGATAATCCAGAGCCCTCCCCCCCGTGGTCTTTTCTCTCGGGGAGGAGGGAGTATCCCCTTTGGAATTTACATCCCAAAATACCCAAATGAGAGATCTTAGGAGATGGACTCCGGGTGGAGTGGGTTCTTAGTAAAGTTGCCGAATGCAAAAGTTTTCATGTGAAGGCAGGTCAAAATTGCTGCTAGAGTTTTCAAATTTTATAATGAACAAGCAAAGAGCAAGGATTGGGCATTTGGTCTAGTGGTATGATTCTCGCTTTGGGTGCGAGAGGTCCCGAGTTCGATTCTCGGAATGCCCCCCACCCCTATTTTCACCTTTTTCGACATTCATAACGCCCCACGAAATTCCCTTTCTACCCCTTACCGGTCACCTATCCAATCCGACTTCCAGCATAGGCATTTTCGTCCATTTACGGAACGCTATCTTCGCGTTCGTCCTCCTTCCGCCAACAACACTCCCCCTCTTATCCTATCTTCTTCTTCTTCTTCTTCTTCTTCAGTCACTCTCTCTCTGCTTCAACTCACCGTAACAATGGCGACGCACGCTCTCTCCGCGCTCACCATCCGCTCCTCCGCCCCCCATCCTACCCCGCCTCTCTCCTCCCCTCGCCCCGCGCACCCCCTCCGCCTCCCCCTCGTCCTCCCCTCCCCCGCCTCCCCACTCCGCGCCCGCCGCCTCCGCCCCGTCGCCGCCGCCTCCGCCCCGGAGAAGGTCGCCCGCCTCGGCGACGAGATCTCCGGCCTCACCCTCGCCGAGGCCCGCGCCCTCGTCGACCTCCTCCAGGACCGGCTTGGCGTCTCCGCCGCCGCGTTCGCCCCGGCTGCAGCCGCCGCGGGGGCCGCCGCCCCCGGGGCCACCGCCGAGGCCGCCGCCGCCGCGGTGGAGGAGAAGACGGAGTTCGACGTGGTGATCGAGGAGGTGCCGAGCAGCTCGAGGATCGGGGTGATCAAGGCGGTGAGGGCGCTGACGAGCCTGGCGCTGAAGGAGGCCAAGGAGCTGATCGAAGGGTTGCCCAAGAAGTTCAAGGAAGGGGTGTCCAAGGACGAGGCCGAGGAGGCCAGGAGGCAGCTCGAAGAAGCTGGAGCCAAGATTGCCATCGTTTGATCTTCTTTCTTCCTTAAAAGAATCGCTGGTTCTGTTTCTTGTTTTATTACTTGTTTATCAGGTTTTCTTGGGTTTTTTTTTTTTACTGTAGTTGATGATGTCTCTGGATAGTTATATTTGTTATCAGGAGCGAGTAAAGAGGTCTTCACTGAATTTTCAAAGTTCTTTGTAGTCATGCATGTTCATGGAAGCCGCACCATCTGTGAAATTCTGCGAAGGCATTGCCCGTGTCCATGTTCATCTGTTTTGAGCATCGATGCTTATGAGAAATCATAGCGCGATGGTTATGTGTCTGGTGGAATTGAGATTCGAAAGCGGTTTTCAACGTATGCTCGAATTCGTTCGATGCGAATCGATGGCATGGCATCGGGACGAGTCTCGAGTTTGTGCCGAGGTTATTCTCGAACTCGACTTAGCTTGAAAGCTCGGTTGTTTGGTGAATTAGGCTCTAGTTCGGTTGAGTTTTGTGTTTCGATGCTTGATTGAAGTTGAATAGTCGGGTTCTTAATTTAAGTTGTTGGATTTAGTTACCATGAGATTCAACTAAGATCGACTCTCGAACCAACTTCAATGATCAAATTTACTGGTGAATAAAGGAGATCTATATTACAAGTGTTAGGATACACGTGTGAGTTGTATTAGAGAAGTCCTACATTAAAAAATTAGTATGGTGTTGAGCGGTTAATATATCATAGTTGATCCATAACTCATTAGCCTAAGCTTTTGACTAAAGGTGGATCCAACTAGATATGTTGACGGGATCGAACTTGAGCTTCTTGTTGGGGATCTCTCAGGTAAATATATCAAACTTCTGCTACGCATTCATCAAAGCCGATGGTCGATTGGTGGGCCACTCCCAATATGTATCGATGTTTGTCGAATATCTCAAGGAAGGAATCTGGTGACCAACGCTGTTTTCGCGGGCTTAAAGGCAAACTCCATAGTTGGGCATTAGAAATTCAAGTTAAAATATGTTGATGGAGAAGGATATCTGAATTAAAGTACAGCAAATTTAATACCGGGGGAGATTTGCTGTGTGCTCCCAACAATAAACATAGAAATCGACTTTCGGTCTTCATTATGCAAGCTACACATGAATCATAACGTCCCTAAATATTAGTATCCTTAATTTGTCGAAATTAAGGCTCCGTTTATTTCGTGAAAATGAAAGATTTGGAAATCTCTTAAAAATGATCACTTGTAATGTTTTCATGATCGACGGCAATTTATATCTAAACGTTTTCACGAATGATGAAAATATCTTTCGTTCGTTCACACATTCTTGTCAACGACATAAGTGATCCTTTTTAAGAGAAATATTAATTAAATTATTTACTTTTCGCAAAACGAAACTGATTTATTAAGTGAAACCGGAAGTCCCAAGACCGTTAGATTTGAATTTACAGAGTGAAATAGGACAGCGCCGGTCAAACAAAGGGCTGCGACATTTAGGGGGGGAAAATTTCGTAATTCAACTCGTTTGTCCTCACCTATCGATTCTGTCCAAACAGCCACTACAGGACAAAAAAAAAAAAAGCCTCGAGGCTCTCTCTTACGGTCTTACCTCGTCTCAATCTCGGTAAAAACTTTTCACTGCTCCGGACGCGCGAAGCTCGCTTGAACAAAAGGATCTTTCGTAATAATTGACTGCGGTTTGCTAAACTTATTCAGCGGCTTTTAACCTTACCGATTGAACTCGTGCCATGCGTAATATGCCTTAAAAAGATCGGTGCCTCGAATGCTAAGTAAGTGTACATCAAAAGTACTCATTAATAAATTAACTCTCGACCAAAATGATATGAACAAAGTCGCCGTCGATCAATTCGAGTTGGGATTTTTTTTTTTTTCCGGATCGAAGACTCTGAAGCAGAATCATCGATGCCATGAGTTCATTTGCATCCTCATTTTAAACAAGAAAAGAAGACGAGATCATATCTCGTGATTTCTGAAATACATAATTCCTTCGTTATTATATATCAAGCTCGTTTCTTTCAAGTGAGCACAAGAATAATACTCGCGAGATAAAGGAGAAAAAAAACTTCAATGACACACGAGGATGCACAGTGTTCTCTCATCTTCTTGAACGGGGGAGGCAGCAGAAGACAGTCAAGGAGAAAGGACCAAAAGCCAAGTTACCGTGAAATCTCTAACTAAAAGCACTGTGACCAAAAGAGAGAAACGGCGACAGCCGAAAAATTGTTTGAACATTTCATCGTTTCAGCGTACAACAACGTAAGAGCGGAAGAGTCCCAATGAGCAGATGATCCCAAAAGGATCGCACACCAATTACGAGCACATCGACCAATCCATGTACAAACCTTCGGAAAAAAGATGGTTCGTCGACCGTCGGCTGGAATACCTTTCGAACCCCATCTTCGTCGCCGCCGTCTTCTTCTTCTTTCCGCGGTTTAATGCATGCACCAGAAAATCCCCAAACACCAAGACCGCATGGATTCTTGGCGTGAAAAATCAGAGACCACACGCTGTTCGCAGTGATACCAGGTATCGAACGCATTGCTGCTCTTCACATCCTCCCAGCCCGAAAAAAAGAAAGAGAGAAACCAAGAAAATACAAGGAAGAAGATCCATGGATGAATTGGTCGAATTCCTTTCAACTGCAACCGCCTTTCCCCTGGAACTGAACCCCGGTGAAGGAAACTCTGCCGAAGCTCAGATGACCCACCTCGTACAAGTCCAGGTCCAGCCACGCCGATCTCTCTTCGGCCTCCTCCGGCACGCCGCCGCCGCCGCCGCCGCCGCCTCCGCCGAGGCCCTCCTCGAACCCGAACCCGTACACCGACTCCCTCATCCCTTCCTCCACTATCCTCTCCCTCTCGCTCGACCCTCCTCCCGCCCTCCCGCACTTCCTCTTCTTCTTGGCGGCGGCGGCGGTGGCGGCGCTCTTCTTCCTCCTCGCCAGGCACCTCCGCCAGACCATGTACGGCACCCGGACGAGCGCGAGTGCCAGCAGGTTCACCACCGCGCAGGGGCAGCAGCAGCACACCGCCGCGCAGTCCGCCACCACCCCGGCCGTGCACGACCTGCACCGCTCCCCGGAGCACTCGATCCCGTCTCCCCCCACTGATCCCTCGCCGCCGCCGCCGCCGCCGCCGCCCCCGTCGTCGGCGAACCTGCTCCTCCTCCGCCTCGCCGCCGCCGCCGCCCCGACATGGTTGCCGGGCGTGCTTCGTCGCCGTCGATCCTCCATCCCGTCGACCCGATCCTCTCTCCCTCTCTCTCTCTCTCTCTCTTCAATGTCGTAAACTCCTGCGATGCGAATCGTATGAGAGAGAGACGGGGGAAGCGTGAAGCGTATGCGTAACTGTATCTGGGAGGCAATGCAGGCGGCTTGGGAAAATGGATTTTTTTTTATTTCTATTTTCTTATTTTTATATATTTTAGGCATAATACGAAATTGGCTGAAGCGGGCGATGCATTAAATGGCGAGAAACCCCCGCGGCCACGCTCTGTGCCGGGCACGTGCGGACCACGCACGAGTGGGGAGTGCTGCCGGGCGCGTGTACCGAGAGGGTGACGTGAGCGTCGCGGCACCCCAGTAATTTGCCAATCAAAGCCGCACGTGAGCCCAGTTACCCAAGCAACTCCCTCTGTTACTAATAACAAAATATTATCATGAACGATCAGATATTTTTTTAAATAATTAACTTTTTCACGGAGCGTAGAAGTGTTGATTAATTTCCTTCGTGACTAAAAGCGTCATACTAGGAACACGGTCGATATGTGTACGCAATTTTTTTTTTATCAAGATCGATTCTTTTTTCATCCTTTTCCTTCATTTTTTTTATATGATAACCGATACATATAGCAATTACAGCAAAATAGTATGGGCAAAAAAACGGCACGGAGTAAAATATCAATAAAAAAATAAACAGAAATATAAAGTAATAAGAAAGTTAAGTAAGTTCATTCGTCTTCTTCCAATCCCATAAAATAGGTTCTAATTGCCGGTTCCAACTAGGTGGATTCAAAACCAGAACTTGGAACCTACCCGCACAACACCGGTTCTAAATTTTCAGCATTGGGAATCGGACTTATTTCCTTTGGAACCAAGAATCGGACTGTTTTTATGGCGGGTTCAATCCGTTTTTATGACGGGTTCGGTCATAACAAGAATGACTAGGGTGAGCAACTTGGACCGCCCAAACCGGACCGGACGACCTGACCCATCGAATCACCGGGATTTCGGCCTGTTCCTGCTCCTAAAAGCGGAAACCGGTTTTCGGGCGGTCCGGTTCCCGGTTCCAAGGGGGAACCGAACCAGACCGACTATTTAATATATATTTTTGTTATATTTTTTTTAGAAAAAATTAATAAAATGTGAACTAAACTCTAAGTGAACTTAATTATCATAAATTCATTGATAAAAATTAGTAAAATGTGAATTAAACCCTAAGTGAACTTTATTGACATAAATTCATTGACAAAAATTAATAAAATGTGAACCAAACCTTAAGTGTTTAACCAAAAAAAAAAACTAAACTCTAAGTGACCAGTTCCATTAGATCGGACCGGACCGCCGGTCCGGTCCGGTTCTCAGTCCTAGAACCAACCGGTCCGGTCCGCGGTTCCCAAAATTGGGAACCGGTTCTCTCGGTCCGGTTCCCGGTTCCACTTTGAAATCGGATCGGACCAAAAACCGATCACCCCTAATAATGACAGTGCCTTAAAGCCGCAAAGAAAGTTCGTGATTTTCAATACGCCGTCCCACCATGTTATAGCGTCGCCAGTGGATCATAACTTTTTCATCAATGTGAATTTCGGGCAATTCCTAAAAAATGAGCGAAGCCTTTTTAGGGGGACGTCAGAGGGGAAGCGCACGTGAGAGAGAGAGAGAGGGGCCTACGTTTGGGAAGGTGAGATGAAATGCGACCGAGAAAAGGACAGAGGAGAGGAGAGAGTCAGTAAAACCTGAGTTGATGTCTCCCACGCTTGACTTTAATGTTTTTCACCTGAGCTTTCGAATCTTTCACTTTTCATGTCCCCTCCCCTGCCTCATTCCCCCCCGTATTGTGTCGGCTTCGAAATTGAATTTTCACAGAATGACCCTCTCAAATTTTTTCTTTTACGATTCGCATTATTAAAATATTTTCATATTTAACTCAATCTAAAAAATTCATACCCAAACTGAGATGAGAGTACGGAGTGAGTGAGCGAGCACGAAAGTAAGTAAGGGCGAAAGAGATTAATTGAGTTTAATAAGTTGTACGCCCATAAAACACTCGACTTTGAAAATGTTGAATCGGGTTTTTTTTTTTTTTCAACAATAGGAAGATAGATATGTTGGAATTGGTCTTGCACATGAGGCCAAGAAGACCAGATGAAATGGGCAATACATACGTAGACTTAGTCAAATGAGTGTATATATATATATATATATGCTGAATTGGCCAATGGCCTTGTCCCTTGACCGGACAAGAGGGGTGGAGAAAAGATGAGGGGTGGAGAAAAGATGATGTGTTCACATGGGATCAGATGGTACAACTAGCGAGTACTGATGGCCCAGCTAAGATCGGGGCTTATGTCCCCCCCGCCTTAATTAAAATTGTCCATACGACCCTAACCCCACATTATTCTATCTAACAAAATAAACTACCATATCCTATATTATTCTTCAAAGCTATGCCGTGGACCAGGAGCTTCGTTAATTCAGGAATTTTAATGTCCAAGCATAAACCGTAACATATATTATCTAGGCCATAGGGCCCATTAGAAGAAGCAGGGGGGCATTGAGATTGGCCCGCTATGAAAAACCATTGTTGGGTCAGAGAATTCATTAGCCTATCTCGAATCGATCCCTCACCAAACTTGGATAATCTTTTCGAGTCGCTTAAGGGACACCGCCCCCCACCCCGAACACTTTCATCAATGGTTCTCGAGCTTCGGCATAATGCACAATTTCAACAATAGATTTTTAATTTGTTCAGTGTGGTTCCTGAACTTTTAGCCTAATATACAATGTCGTCCCCAAACTTTTAATTTTATTCAATAAGATTCCTGAACCTTTGGTAATGTTCAGTGTAATCCCTAAACTATATGAAAATATTCATTATAGTCCATAAACATGAATCAATGGAAAGATAACATTTTTTTTTTTTGGTAACCCAGGGAACCCCGCACGGTCGACAGCCGGGAGATAAACCCTGGGGGCGACACGTGCTAGCCGCTACACACGTGCACCGGTTAAGTCATCCTGCGGCGCCCGGGATTCGAACACTCAACCTTTTGCGAGAGGAAGAATGCCCTTTCCAGCAGCGCCACCCAGGCGGGTGGTGGAAAGATAACATTTGATATTTTCATATAATCTAGGAACTAGATTGAATATTTACCGAAAATTCAGAGACCATACTGAACAAATTAAAAGTTCAGAGATCACATCACACTTTGAGATAAAGTTCAGAGATCATATTAAACAAATCAAAAGTTCAAGAATCATATTGCATATTTGGTCAAAATTTAGAGACCATTTGTGTAGGGATATCGTTCCGTGCGACTGTCGTGCCGCCGGCTAGCGCGGATTAATCAGATGCCGAGATGGCCCCGAGACAGCTTCCCTTTTGAAGGAAGGGGAAACAAGGATCCTATGCAATCACACACGAGGCAAAGCGGGAGCAGCTCAGAAGCAAATTACCCGCGCTCTTGCCTCGTGAGGGAGAGGTGATGACAGTGGGATTTACGAGCGAGGGGTGTTTGACGTGCTCTTCCAGTGAAAGATCACCTTTTGAACTCTAGCGAAAGATCACTTCAATACGTGAAGTGATTCCTCGGTTGAATGGGCCCAGATGTTGCTACAGTAGTAGACGCCTAAAGCGGAATGAACGGGTGATCTTACATCCCATGGGGGTCGTGTGCAGCAAAGCTCAATCGAACAGGTGGAAAGAGACCCAGATGCTCGAACCCATTCGACATGCAGATACAGATAGATAGCCCATATGTTGATCGCAGGTTCCGAAGAAAAGGGGCGATGGATGTATCGAAATGCGTTTGGTGCTGACTCTTTTTACAGGGTGGAAAGAGACCCCAGTGCAGAGAAATAAATGGAGCTTGCGAGCGAGGGAATGAAATCAGACGTACCTCGGAGAGTGACAGAGAGACCGTGGAGGCGAGCGATGGCTGCAAGGGTCTCGTCGCCCGAGCAAAAGAAGGCGCTGCGCATCCGAGTGGTGCTTCGGCGATTGCTTGGGCAAAAGAAATCTCCGGTCTTTACAGTGAACCGTACAGTGTGCGCTCAGGTTGATATGATGCGGGGGGAGCGAGAGAGAGAGGGAGAGAAACAGACAGAGAGATCTCTGTTCGCAGAAGACGAAGACGATGCTAATGTCGATCTGATCTGAGCAAAGCGAAACGACGCTATTTCTAGTAGCACTCCTCCTTCCTACCCTTCTCTCTCTCTCTCTCTCTCTCTGTGACTGAATAAACTACGATTCGAAAACCGAGACCAAAAAGGGAAAACCTCACGCAAATGATGTCAGGGGAGCATCTTTCATCTGGGAACAATGATATTCATTTGAATATTATAATGGAAAATCATGAGAGTCAGAGGGGTGATCTCAGCATTATTTTTCTCTTACTTGGGTGAGTCCCGATGACAGCGAATATAGGAGATATGTTTTCTCCTTCTCCTTCTCCTCCTCCTCCTCCTCCTTCTCCCACCACCTCATCGGCCTCGCACGCGACAGGCCGAGCAAGCACGCGCCACCGGTTTTCTCTCTTCGCTTCGCTTCGCTCTTGAAAACAAGGTTCTCGGGCGGTTGCCGAAAGCGCCGCTGCTCTGCTCTGCTCTGCTCATGGCAGTAACTGGCACTGCCAATTTGTTTTCTATTTGATTGCTCCTTGAACGGGTAAAACTGTACTTTGCTTTTGCTATTGAAAAGTTAATCAGTGGGTGAGAAAGGACAGAGCGTTAGGGTTGTGGACAGAGCCCTCGCTCGACTCCATGTCGGCCCATCCATTGAACAAATTTAGGCGACGATGGGCCTGTGTTCTGACCCAAAAGAAGCCCCCAAGTTTCGTCTATAAATTGTCGATCCCATCGTCTCATACGGTCACAAGTCGCAACAAGAAGCCCTAGGCATTGGCATTGGCATTGGACGCAGCCGCGCCGTCTCCTTCTCTCCGCCTCTCCTGTTTCTTCTCCTTCCTGCATAATTTCTGTTCTTTCTTTCGAAGATTGTTGTTGTTTCGCGTCGCAAAGTGTCGGTCTTTTCAAGGTTTTTGCTCCTTCGTGGGCGGTTCTTGTTTTTTTTGTTTTTTTGGGTCGTGTCGCGTGGGGCGAAGATGAAGAGTGCTTCCATATTCTGACACCTCTTGTATGAGAAGAGCTCCGAAAATGGAGTTCTTCGTTGAGCAGATACAGCAACTCTCTGAGCCCCGACCAGAATCGCTTCATATCTCGACCTTTTCTCTTTCTTTTTTCTTTTGTTTTGCTTGGGAAATATTTCACCAACAGCTCGGCTTGACATCTCCATTTCAAATTTTTTTTTTGGGTTTCATCGTTCTGCTCCTTTTCTTTTCCTGTGAAGTCGCGATGCTTTCTGTACATTTCCTTGTCATTTCACTGAATCAATGAGCTATGACAAGAATAAGAACAAGAACAGCTGCGATGTCAATGGACCAACAAGTTCTTGCCCTTAAGGGACTTCGGTGAACTTAATGATTTGCAGTTGTGTAATAACATCCGGGACTCGATCTTGGTTCGATGCCCATTTGATTTTTCTGTCTGTTTTGCGTGCTTTTCTCTCACTCGACACTCTTTCAAAACTCGTAATCAACGTGTTTAATGATTTTGATCTTCGTAAGACGGTGGAAATGTATAGTGGGTCGTATTTTCTTTGGCATTCCAGATTCAGTGCAGATACTCTTGGTCATGGTCTTTTTTCTCCTGAAATTTCTGAAAATCTAACTGCAAAATTTATATTCATCTGCATCGTTCTCGGCCTTTACATGGACAGGACGTGGTAAACAAAGCGGACATTGCAATAGGAACAAAATCAGACTGTTCTCGACTCATCGTAACATGGACGTAGCGATCTCGACATGAGGCAAGAAAGCTTCCGGTTTGACAATTCCAACCTCGGCCGTGGTTCCCTGGACGATTCGCCCTCTCCTCCCCCGCGGATCTTATCGACCGGCATCCCCATTTCCCCTGCCAGCCTCGCCGCGTCATCCTCGCCGTCGATCACCCGATCGAAGCAGATGTACCTCCCTGATGCGGTCTTGATCATCGCCTCGAACACGCGCACGTGAGCATCTGCCAGTGTCGTCACGTCCACCGTTGCTAATACACCATCCGAGTACATTTCCTTGGCACCTGAACTCGAGCCAAAAACCCAAAAACCCTTAAGATGGGCGTCAATGTGAACGTTAGATGGACTATGAAAATTGGAGGGCATGTGATGTACCCTTAAGATATGCAATTGTAGCTGTTGGATTCCTGTTGATGAACTGAGGACCAGTGATGAGAGCAGGGCAGATCGTGGCCAGCTTAAGTCCCTTTTCTTCTGCTATTTTCCAAGCAACTTTCTCAGCCTTGAGCTTGCCCAGGGCATACCATAGCTGCAAATCAAGAAGTAAAAGAAGTTAATTGACGTTTCCTCTTCCAGTAGAATGTTTTTCAGCAAAAATGTGTTGTGTCTCTAGCAAATACCTTCTTGCTCGCGCACAAGGCTTCATCACTCCAGCAATCGTGGCTGATTACGTTGGTGAGGTGGTTCCGCGCGGTGTCTCGCCATACGCAGGCCAGAAGCGACGATGTGAGGACGCACTTTCTCACCGACGGTGTCCTCGTGCACGCCGCCATCACGCTCTCGCTCACCTTCACTTCTATCTGCGCCATCGCTTTCTACAATGACAACAAGAACAGCGGTTCGGCAGGGGACTGTTAGCCACGGAGGTAGTTGAGATTGGACTAAGAAGCAGGAGACTATGATCTTTGCTCAAATGGAAACCAGATAAGTCCACATCTAAGTCAGTCAATTACCACGAAATTATCAGCATGTACATGCACAAAAATTACTCGATGCGTGCGGACACTTACTCAAGAAAATTGACTGGATATCTAAGTGGTCACGGCGAGACACTACCCTCTAATGTCTGGACCGCGAGATCAATCTACCTAACCCACCTTTTCTCCTTCCCTTCTTCTGATGTTAGGGAAGGCCGCGTTATTCATACCAAATCAGGAACACATTTTAAAAGCTACCACGTGCCGATCAAACCAAAACATGCCGTTATCGATCCTCTTCGTCGCACCACCCGCGGGACGAACCTAACACTATGGGATCTTCTTCGCGTCTTCGAAGGGCAGGCAGAGACAGAGTTTTCTATAGCTATAAGTAGCAGAACCGCCTTTAAAGTGACATTGATGCGAGTAATGGGATTACAGAGGACCGAAGAGGATCTCATTTAACTCCAACCAAACCCAACTTAATGGGCTGGTGGGTGTGTTTTGCCACAGATGTGGAGTGAACCATGCGAAACGGTTTGTGTATAAGGGGAAGCTGCTCGTTCTGCAACTGCATCAGCAGGAAACCTTTTCTTTAAGGTAATTCGCGGAACTTACCGGGCCGTGATATGCGTCGAATGTACTGCTTACTGTCTAGCACCAATTGAGCAATGCGATAGGACCCTTTATAATGCGATAAAGTTCAGACCAGCAGAGACGGAGGCGACGTGGAGGAAAGGTTAGCATGAACACTCACGGTGTAGCCAGAGATCCCGGCCGGATCAGCAAACGCCGAGGTGTGGAAAATCCCGGCGCACCCTTCGAACGCCTCGCACAGGCTCTGCACGTCGCCCAGCTTCGCCACCGCCGCGCTGAAATTGCTCCGGGCGCTCCCCATCTCCCCCGAGGTCTCCATCTCCCTCAGCTTCTCCATGTCCTCTGGAAAAAAAAAAAAGTCAACCCACGCCACAGACCCCCCAATCACAATCAGCATTCCCTTAAAAGTAATAGCAATGATAACAACAGTGACGAACATAGCTCAACGGAAAATCATTCATCATGACAGCTTGTCAGCCTATGACCCGCGACGTACGAACGGTCCGAACCGGAGAGATCTACTTTAGTCTCGGAAATTAAGAAAACGCCGCACCGTGACGTCGATCCGAGTATTCTAGGGGTGGATCACGGCACAGATGGATCCCCATCATGGCCGCCGGTGGACTTCGTCAATTGATTCTCAATTCCTTATTTAATTCGAATTATTGGGCTTTGACCTTCGAGGGATATAACAATCTTTGTTACCTAGGCCATCTTCGAGGATTACATTGAAGTACACCAAACCAAAATCCGAGCTCCACGTGGTTTTCTACCCTTCCTAAGATCGAACCCATCTTGACTAGCCATTCAAAAGAAAGGAAAACAAAAGGGATTACGAGCCATCTTATCTTGGTCCAATGTTAGATCAAACAAGAAGGATTTTTCCTTGATTAGTCCGTTCAATATGAAGGATCCTACAGATTAGATGCGGTTCGCATCGATAAAAACAACCTTGCGTCGACATGTCGCGCGATAATATGAAAATTTATCGACCAAAGATCGGGGGAAAACACCAACATATGGGCCACATTTGAAGCATCATCGTTGCCGTCCATTTTTCTAAACAAATGGTCGGAAAACTTTCTTTGCAAACCACTTTTTATATTTCTATCCCTTGCCTTGCATAAGCGCTTGAAGTCAAACGATGAAAATATCTACGTGGCATCTTCGCGACGCTTTGCGAAAAAAATTAGGGAGAACGGAGTTGGCTGGGTGATGGTGCGATACGGGGTCGTTTTCGTTCGCCATCGATTACGCCGTGGGACTCGTCTACTTCCACGTATCGGTTTCGATCCTCGCTGCTGCTGCTGCTGCTGCTGCTAACGTCACGACGAGTTCATCCAAAAGCCAAGAACCAAAGCGGGACAGGAACAAAAACAAGAAGGAAATGGCGTCCGGCGCAGGTATGTCGTGTGCGTAGATCGCGTAGCGTACCTTCGTTGTCGACGAGGATCCGAACGGAGTACCCGCGGAGCAGGAGCCGGCTCACGAGGGCCCGGCCCAAGAACGACACCCCGCTGGTGACGCACACCGCCCTCCCCCCTCCGCCGCCCGCCTCGTCGTCCTCGTCGTCGTCGTCGCCCCTCGGCGCGGCCCTGGGAGGGGCCCCGATCCCGTCGTCGTCCTTCCTCCGGTGGACGGCGGCGCACGCCAGCAGCACGCGCCGGAGCTCCTCAATCTCCGCCCGCTGCCTCTCCTCCGACCGCACGAACCCCATGCCGCCGCCGCCGCAAGAAACTCGACCTTCCGGGTACCCGGGAGACGCGAACACCGGCGGTGGCGACGACCGGAGGAGGTGTGCTCTCTCCTTCTTCTACTTCTTCTTCCTTCCTTCGGAGGGGGGGGGGGGGGGGGGGGACGTTCTGTGCAGGGCGGTTGATAACGTATGTGACGGAAACGAAGAGGGCTCCGAACTTGGAGATATATGAGAGCAGGAGTCGCTGTCGTGCAAAAACGACGCCCTTCCCCCTCCTTTAATACCTGCGTTTTCGTTGTCGCTCTTCGTTTTCAGTAATACTTGCGTTATCGCGGCTCGGCTCGGCTCGGCTCGCGCGGATGGGCGGCGACTGGGCTGGCTGGTGTGGCCGCTGGCTCGCCAGGGCCGTGCTAAGTCTACGGATCGGCTCCGCTCGGCTCGGATCGGATCGGCTCGGAGCCGGTAAGTGGTGCTGGGACGGGCTCGTCGCTCACGTGTTGAAGGGCCAGTACGCACGGGGGGGCGTGAGGGGGGGGGGCCGAGCTACTACTACTCGCGCGCCACCGGCTCCGGACTTGGTTAGTTAGTTGAGAGGCTGCGCTAACGCGACAGGGCTGTGTGCGTGTCGGGTGATCTCGGCCGTCGGATCGGGGCGACATCCCATTCGAGCCTCCGCATCATCGACGGTGGGAACGCCCTTAATTCACGGGATTATCAGAGACGTTGATCTCTGTCTAATCATCGCCGTCGGCCAGGGTAAAAAGAGGCCGATTTCATTTCATGGACCTGGTAAAAGAGACCTATGGTGATCTTTCCTTAACGAGAGGAAAATCCTGAGACTTGTCGCGAGTTTAGTTACAAGCGCGGTCCACGTGATCGAGTTCGGATGGTAAATCACGCTAAAAATGATTGCAGCTATCGAGGATCTTTTCTTGCGATACTGATATTTGTTGTCGTGAAAAAAAATAATCCCATCTGAAAATTTATAAACTTCGATCGTAACTTGAAAGGTTCCACCACAAGAACGTGCAAGTCTCCCGGAAATTTCGAACTGAGCCATGCTCAATAATCCTTCTAAATCAATGATTAGATTAGATGCTTTAGCTACTGAAGTCACGAACACTAGAGTACGAAACCCTGCCTTGACTATGTGAGCAATTATTTAGCTTCCTCGTAAAAATCATGTCTATACACACACACACATATATATAAAATCTCGAGACAGTCCATAAATTGCATTGTGTCTAATTTGCTTCGAGACATGTTGTGAATTTAGTGACTTGCGTCGTCCATGTGATCGAGTTCGGAGGTAATCACACTAAAATCATCGCAGTTATTGGGAATCTTTTCAAGAAATAATGTATATATTGTCGTAAAAAAATAATCCCATCTGGAAAAGATAAACTTCAATCGTAACTTGGAAGATTCCGCGACAATGCGCAACTCTCCAAAAAATTTCGAACCGAGCCATGCTCAATAATCCTTCTAGATCGATGATTAGATGTTTTAGCTACTTAAGTCGCAAACACTAGAATACGAAACCCCACCCTTGACCAGGTGAACAATTATTTAGTTCCCTCGTGAAATCATGCCTAGATATATACATATATAATCCCGAGACCGTCCATAAATTGCACCGTCTCTAATTTGCTTCGGTGTTTTCGAATAATTGGAATGAAACAATGGGACACCGGTTGTTATTCGTCAAATGAAAGAGAGAGAGAATTCGATCGGTGGGTAATAAACTCCGACCCCAGTGACAAGTAGCGCGCACATGATCGAGCATTAGAACATGCTCGGGTCTTGTTTTCATTCTTTTATATTAGATCGTATAGTGTATACAGTTTTTTGGGCCGTGAATGAATGCAGTATATATATATATATATATTGGTGGATAGTCCAACAAGGAACAGTGGTAGATGTCCAAGTCTGACTAGTGGATGGCGATAAATAAAACTTGGCCACTTTTTTTAGGTCTCGGAACAAACCTACCAATCTCTCTCCGTCTCCATCTCTAGCCAATGGGCCTATCATAAATTCCTTTGCTAAATTGTCGAATTTTCGCTGTCGTTGGGACGGGAAAATCGTCTAAAATATCCTGAACCTACTGTACACGACGGTCAATTCCGTCTTAAAATTTTTAATTATGCCAATTTAATCATAAACATTCGGACGATTTATCAATTGACCAAAAATCACCCTGTGGATGTCATCCGGCCGGGCTAAAGTGAATAATTTTTTTTTTTTAAAATTTTTTTATATTAATTTTCTTTTTCTTTTTCTTTTTCGTTTATAGTCAAGGGCCAGCGAGGGGCCGCCGACCACTGGCCGAGTTCGACAACCCAACCTCTCCTTGTCCGGTCGAGCCACGTAGATCAGCCGTTGTCTACATCAGCGATTTCTGGCCAAAAATTAACCGGAATCGCTAAATTAGCAAGCCGTCAAAAGATTCGAGACTAAACCGGCGCAATCAAAAGGTTCGAGACCGAGTTGGCCGCCGTACAACAAGTTTAGGACTTTTTGGACGATTCCCTCTCGTCGCGCATCAATCAACCCTCGAGCTTCGAAAAGTTACGGGATCATCTCGCGAACTTCGATTTCTATCGCAGCGACCGGTCCGTCGCCGCCTCGCGATCCGTGCGTCCCGTCTTTTGTTGTCCAAACCATGTCGCGACTAGTGTTGGCTATTGATCACGATCCAGCGACATCCCTAATTGACTTAAAAGCACCTGATCGGTTCGAACGGCATCCGCCACTATCCGCAGATCCGCAGAGTAGCACGAGCAAACATTCTCCCGAACTGATCGCAATGAATGCAATTAGAGGTGTCAAAATGGGTCTTAAACCCATATATGACCCATTTAAAAATAAATTGGTCATATATGGGTCACTTTAATTTTAAAGAGTCAACCTTAAATGGGTTTTAAATTTTAAAGCTTAAAGATAAATTGGTCTAAATAGGTTGAGTTTGGAACCCATGTTCAACCCACCTACTAGACCCATCCACACACTTTCTCCCTCTTTACAAAAATATTTAAAAAAAATCGAAATTTAATTATTTTTATTTTTTCTCTTTTTTTCTTTTCTCTTCTTTCTTTTTCTTTTTTTTTTTTATTTCGGCCGATGGTCGACCACGGCCACCGGGATGGGACGACCTCGCCGATCTGGCAAGCCTCGAGCTAGCCCGATTCCGGCGACCTCGAGGCAAAAATAAATTAAAAATTCGATTTAAAAAATAAAAATATATTAAATTTTTTTATTTTCTTGGATAATGACTTTATGGAAAATATTTTCTAGAAATGTCGCATTTTTCGTAAAACAAACAGAACCTCAATTTTTAAAAAAATTATAAAATTTTTTCACTAGCTTTGTATTGTATAAAATGTTTTAGCAGTATAATTTTAAAAAAAAATCATAAGAAACAAGTATTCCTAGATTAGGTTAAATATAAAAGTGTTTTAGCAATGTGGGTCGGGTCGGGTCGTGTCAGGTCGGGTATGGGCCGGGTCGGGATATTTACACTATGAATAAATGGTTCATAAACGGGTTAATGGGTCATTTGGGTCGGACCATTTATGACCCGTCCCAAACCCGACCCGACTCACCCGTTTAACAGGTCTAAATGCAATGCGGTCGATCCGTGGAGTCCGTACGGGGCCGCGACGAGCAGCAAGGCGTGGCTCGATCGATGTCCGAGCAACGAACCTACCAAATTCGCCCTCCACATGCGACCACGTAGGGCCCTCTCGATCCACACTCCTCCTCCTCCTCCTCGTCCTTCCTTTCTCGTACTAAAGATCGCCCATTGATTGGAGCCCCCCACCTCACGTGATTCCCGAACCGTGTAAACAAGCCTTAGGAAAGCGACCCGAAGCTGCATGAACGTTCCGGCGGCGCCTTGGCGGCCCGGTGATCGGTCGGGAGGACGGGCCGGGTCATGGCCGCCCCACCCCGCCTACGCGTTTCTCCTTTTTGAGGATACCGGAAAGTTCAGTTCGTGGGCGCATCCGATGAAACTCAAAGCGCGAAAAGTTGTACTGATGATCGAATGATGAACTTTATCGGTTTCTTATCAAACATGGAATGATGAAGCATTATCGAAATGTTTGGACTGCATCGTTAGTAACGGATTTTCACTCTGTAACTTATTGCTTAACCAATCAGGTAAGCCGTTCTTGCTTACCACATCGAGTGGTTTTTGACTTAAACCCACCAATTATGTTGTTGTATCATTGGTGCTTATCATATGCACGAAGCGACATCAGATGTTGAAAAAGTTTAATTTATCAAGCAATTCATGTGGTTATGAAAAACGTCGACCAAAAAAAAAATTTGGTCATGAGAAATGCAACCTGTCCCTATAATGTGTAGCGGAGCGTTCCAAATCAGTCCATCGAGACACGGACCCACCCAACAGAGTAATAATAATGCATCGACACACCTGCTTAATTTTTGGATAAGGCCCGAAATATCTTTTGCCATGTAAAATGAATCACTTGTGTAGAATGTCGCCATGGGACAAGTGTCCTATCTTACGTTAATTCGTTAGGAGCCCCACTAAGCAATCGGTGAAGGAAATGACACAATTTTTTAACCCAATGGATTCTTCAAGACATGTATATAGTCGGTACTATGAAAAATCGAACATTTCCATTTTAAGCATATAATCTAAAATAGATAATTGATTGTATCTATATTGTTCGATTTTAGGGCGTACTTGAATGGTTTTTTTTTCCATTTGCTTTTTGATAGATCTAAATCTCGCGACGGCTAGAGGCGAGGGTCAGTGAGGCTGACCTCGAGCGCTAGGCTGGGTGAGGCACGGCCTCACAGTATCTGGTGAGGTCTCACCGGCCCCCTCGCCTCAGGCCGGTTGCTGAGGTCCGGTGATCGGTTAAAGGAAGAAGAAGAAGAAGAAGAAGGGAAGAAAAAAAAAAGAAAAGGAAAATTTTAAAATTTTAAAAAACTCGAAAAAAAATATTAAAATTTGTCCACATCAGCGCTGATGGTGCCACCACGTAGGACGCCCGGCGTTGACGTGGACGCCAGCCGGCCAAAATTGGTCGGATGAACTGAATTGACACAAATGCAAAAAAGTTTAGGACTTCATTAGTAAAAAAAAAAGTTTAGGACTGAATTGGCACGATTGCAATAAATTTATGACCCATTCCATCCCAATCAAACACCCCATAGGTGTGACTAAGGAAACCATCTTATAGCAGGTTGAATTTTAGCCTTAATTATAAAAGTAGATTCCTCCAAATTGATCTTGATTTGTAATACATTCCAATGCTCCGAAGTGGTCTGCGATTTAGGGCCCGTTCGGTAACGTGCCAAATAGTGAAAATTTTTGTTCTTTTGTTCTCAGAAATAGTTTGGGAACAGAAATGCGTTTGGTAAACTTTTTGTTCCCGGGCACATTTTCGCAAATATTTGTACCGAGAAACAGTTTTGGAAAAGAAACAAGAAGTAAAAAAAGTTACTTCTTGTTTCTCGGCTAATTTTGAGAATCAGTTTTTTCTTCTTTTTGTGTTGCTCTTCTTGGGTTGTGGCCGGTCGCCGTGGCCGTGGCGCCGGCCACAACCCAGGGTCGGCGAGGCGTCATGGCCCTCGCCGGCCGCGGAGAGCGGGTCCCCCCTGCCGGCGAGGCGAAAGGCCGGACCCTCGCCGCTTCGGGCGAGGCGGCTCGCCGTCGATCATGGCGAGGCTCGGCCTCTCGAGCCTCGCCAGATCGAGCGGCCGAGCCTCGCCGTCGCGACCCACAGCGAGGTCGGCCGCCGTGGGTCGCGACGGCGAGGCTCGACCTCGCTAGATCCGGGCGAGGCCGAGCCATGACCGACGGCGAGCCACCTCGCCCGGGCGGCGAGGTCCGAGCCTCGCCCTCGCCGGCGAGAGGGACCCTCGCCTCCGCCTGACGGCGGCGAGGGCCGTAACGCCCCTCGCCGGCCTACGGCGTGGCCGGCCGCCGGTTGCTTAGGTTGCGCGATCGTCCATGGCCTGGGTGGAAAAAAAAAAATTAAACAATTCAAAATATTATTAATAAAAAGAAATTTGTGTGTAGTTCTAAACGCATTTAATTCTTTTCTATTCCGAAATAGAAATTTTGGACAGTTCTACCAAACGCCTTCAAATGCACAGAAATTGTTTCGAGTTGAGAATAAAAAAATCATTTTGTTTAGAAATAGTTCTAGAGCAGTATTAATGCGATTTAGTGTCCCTGTACGAGTTTGGAATTTGTAAGAATCGTATGTATGAGATTTAGGTAATGTCATGAGACGAAGGAATCGATGCGCATTGCAAATCAAAATATCTAATCTCACCAAGTCATTCCAATTTTACGAGGTTCGACATCTTTGGACGGTGCCCACGACAATCAGTCGTCGTCCATTTGATTCGCCATCCATCTCTATATGGTTACGGTTCATCACTCAATTTCAAGATGATGATGCTTTTAGTATACTTGGTCTTGAACTGTGTACGAGTCTGTGATGCTCGAGGTTTATTAAAGCATGCAAGAGGCAACGAAAGTTGATGGCTGATGCTGATCAAGGCCTAATTCCAAAAAAAAAATATCAATTTTACTTTGAATAACGATTATGGCCCGAACTTTTTTTTTGTCCCATAAAAAAATCGCCAACTTTCACTTAAATTATAAATCCGGATCAAACAATTTGAAAATTTCACCTCATGGGGTCACGTTTGAGACTCGAGTAAAAGTTAGTCTTTTTTATTAAGACAAAAGGGAATTCGGTTTAGAATTATCACTCAAGGGGGAATTGATATTTTCTTTTGGAATTAGCCCTGCTGATCGAACAAGATTCATGGGCGTGAGTCGAACAGTTTTCGACTTGTACAACGTTGGAACATTCGAATCGCGACAAAGGAATTTATAGGCCCATAAGAATCGAAGCCCATTAGTCCTCTCTCTCTCTCTCTCTCTCTCTCTCGCTCTGTGTTCAAGAATCTAAAGAAGCGGAAACGAGAACAAGAATTGCTTCACGAAAAACAAAAGAACTGAATCGCTTGTTCTTTTCGAAGAAAGCGTAGTGGTCGCGCAAGTACAGAGCGTATGGATAGTTCGGTGACTGAATTTCCCGTGCCCCAGAAGACGCTCACGCTTGATATTAAGGTCGGCCCACTTTCCTCCGATTTTTTAACGTTTCTTCTTCGGGGAGCAAGAAGCTGTTGTTCCTCGTTTCCCTTTTCTTCTTGGGGGTTTGGATGGATCCTGTCTGGTTTTGGGTCGCCAAGTTTTTTTTTCTTTCCAAGGCTCTCTAGATGGGTTTGTATTGGGTTCGTTGTTTTGGGAATGAATAGGGTCTTTGTTGCCTTAATCGCTTCTGTTCGTTTGATGCTGTGTCGATGTGGTGATTGTCGTTGTAATTTGGTGGGTTGTCAACTGTTGGCGTTGCTCATTTAGCTGGTTCATGTTTCGTGGCAGGGGAACAAGACGGATTTTGTGATTTGCAGTTACGATGACCATTTCATGGTAAGTTAGAGACTCCCCAATTCCCATGTGTCCTGATTGCAACTGCACGTGCAACCCTTTTTTTTTTTTTTTCATTTTGTTCGCAGGTGATTCTAATGGAAATGATTCTTTTAGGTGATCGTCACTCAAATAGGAGCGATGGGGACAATACTGCATGCCAGGTCTGTTTATTTTACTTTGTACTTCATGATTAGCATGTTTCAGTTTTGTACGTTGTGCTGTGGTTTCGAATTCGGTGAATTTTGCTATGTTTTGGTGCGGGCATTTCTCCGTATTTCAGTTTAGTATCCGGGTATAGTTGTAGAGAAACTATGAGAAGTTATGACAGTATATTCGAATGCTCAACTAAAGTCAAAGCGAATTGAGTATGTTTGTTTATCAACACAATTGTCTTTTTGTCTATTGTAAAGTTTTGAATTTTGGCTCTTGGTTGTACCTCAGCTTCGTGCTTCGGTAGAACATCTGAAATTCTGGATTTCCTGAAAGCTCATTTTCAGCACAGTGTTCTTTATATGTGGAATGGTGTGGGACATTATAAACGTTGAAATGTTTGATCTGAATGAGAATCAGGCTTGGGAGAAGATAGATATAAGACGAAAACTGATCCTATGGAACATATATTGCATTGTCTTTCTGGATAATATTCAGTTCATAAAACTTCCCAGTGCTGTTTTGCCAAAGAAATGTCTAAAGCTCTTGTCCTCTAACTGTACTAAATTCTTCAATCTTAGGAAGGAGGAAGGTGTCTCAATTGATCCTACTTTTAACGTCTCTGTTGTATTTGGTAAGCGAGATGAGGTGAGTTAGTATAACGGCAGCGTGTTTTTTTTTTTTTGCTTTTGGTTGGAACTGACGTGGGGAAAATCTTTTTGCAGCCAATGATGGTGGCGTGTGCTCGTCAGCTGATTGAACATATAAGGTAATTGGTATATCCCCACATAGCCTCACACAGATAGAGGCCAGCTAGGTATATTGATTTTTATTTCTGCAAGGATCTATACGCGTGCCTGTGAATGTGCTTGGCAGGACTTCAACAACTGTTCTAGCACTGCGTAGATTAAAGTACATTATGTGATCTCATGCCAGTGACAGCGGTAGCTTCACATTTTTTTTTTGTAGAATTACTCTTTTGACTGACATTTTTACATGTTTGCGTATTCAGTAATTCCAGGGCTTCTAGGCAATTGGTGCTTTCTCTAGGTCTCAAGGATCATTCGCCGGTACTGTCCACGCGTGTATAGCATACATTTGAATTTGATCAAAATGCATGTTCGCCTCCTCTAAATCATTTGATTTTGCAGGAGACACTGAAAGGAGTTGTTTCTGCTGTAATTGAGAATCGCCTATGGTAATTGCTTGTTTGAACTGAGCATCCCCATTTCCTTCTCAGCAGCACTTGCAGCAGCTAAACTCTAGCAAGAATCCATTTAATTGCAGCACTTGGCAAGCATTTTTTCTTGCATATGCTGAAATATGACCGCAACTTTGAAGAGGTCTGTGTGGTTCTGGATTTTATTCAGCTGTATCATAGTTCGAATTGCATGTATGTTTTTCATCCATTTGGATTCTGGCGAGCTGAGTAACGAGCAATATCGAGAATTTATCCTTAAGATCACCTTTTTTAATGGTTATTCTCGTGTGTCATCACTTTGGTATGTTGCCATCAAAGGAATGCTTTCCACGAGAAATCTTGATCTTCGTAAAGGTGTCTAGGAAGGTAGCTGTTATAAATCAAGTGCGCACCAGTGTACAGAGGCCATGGTGGCTTGTCCATTTTGTAGCGTGGTATAGACTCATTTAGGCAGTAGTTGGTTCAGAGGAAACAGCTATCTGGAGCTTGTGCCTCTGGGAAGTTATGCCTGAGATTGTCTGACCAAGTTATCTGGAGATGAGTAGCGGTGCCCTTATCTAAAAGTGAGTGGGCTGCTTGTGGTTTTAAATTGATGATGAAGTGCTTTTACAGAGTTGATCTGCCGGTTTCCGCAATTTGCTGATCATGGCATCAGTGACATCCGCTCCGATTTTAGTTGTGTGTAGGGCTCTTATAACTGTGGTCTTGGCCATGCGATGTGTTTCAAGATCCATGATGGTCGGAATTCCAATTCCGCCCTGGAAAGGTCTCTTTGGTTTTTTTTTCTTTTGCTCTTTATGTGAACTGATCATCAAGATTTACACCAAGTCAGAAGTTCATGGCAGCTCTTCGCCTACTCTGTTCAGCATTATGCAGATTCCGAAAGCCAGAGAAGGAAGAAGGACAGACATCCTGAGGCAAAAGCTTCAACTAGTGGGCAGCCTATATAATCACGAAGCAACAGTAACAGATCGTCACATGTTACGTTCATGGTCGAGAATCTGAGAATAATATGTACGGCTGGCGATAGATCCGCCACAATGTTAGAATTTGAGCTTGACACACAGTGCTTATCATCAACTATGACTGCCTAATATGAGGCTGGGCACATCATGCGCCAGCCTACTCATTCTTGACTGAATTTCAAGGCACGATTACCTTTCAATTATAACGGCAGCGGATCCCAATTATGCAATGTCTATTACTCAGACCAGGCCTGAGTTGCAATAGAAAGAGAACTCTTCTTGACAATAATCAGAGATAAAACGTAAAAGGGTGACGTGGACACAAACTATAAGGGAATTAATTTAATTGCATTATTGACCGACTGGGAGCTGTCTACGATAGCGGGAAGCCCAGAATGCGAGCAGGGAGCAAAAACACACTTTATTATGGAGAGACGGAGAGACAGAGAGATGGTGTATCTGCCATATCTTTAATAAATTACATGTACAAGCTGCAACTCGAGTAAAGACATCTCAAAACTTAGCGGGGTCAGCCCTTCAAACCTTCACGCGGGTGGGAAGAGTACACGTTTAATCAGGGAAAAATGCGTGGTCGCTTGCTGATCAACCAAAATAGTTGCCATAAAAGAATAAGTTGAAGATGTGAACAGCATCATGCTTTGGTCATCCCTTTTTTCCTCTTGTCTCGGTTTGTCAAAGCTTCAGCTGCTTCTCCAACTGTAAAGCCAGCTTGTAACTCAGTGAAAACAACACATTATATAGTGAAACCAGAAGAGTACATTTCAGCTAGCGGGCGTTTTGGAACATCCTAATGGTCATAAGTCAATCACAAACAATGACAAGAATAGAGCACCATGCAGTGCTTTGATTTCGAAAAAGGAAAAAGTCTTGGTACAAGAGACGTTACAATGCGAAGGTTCTGTTGTTATAGAGGTCCACTGTATTCAACTAAGGTTCTCACCTGGGCATTTTTCAGTTTCAGGTTCTGCAACTCCTCAACAAGGCTTGTAACACTGTTATCCACAAAATGATTTTTCAGAGAAACATTTGAGCAAGTACAATACCTATAAGCAGCTACAAGAAAATTTGTGACATAGATAAATGAAATACAAACATACCATTGCTGCAGATTGGTAAACTGGGATTGCAATTCTTTTTCTCTTGTAGAAGCACAAGACACCTACGAGTCAGAGATTTATTGAAGTATCAAACTAAATGGCATCTTATATATGCTTGCGCATGTTCTACGACATTCAAAATGTGAAAGCAAAAGGAAAAGGTAAACGAAGTAATGGATGACAAAAATGGTGGCCTAGTCAATTCAAAGTCCAACTGGGAAATTGACAAAATGAAAGGTAAAAGGCTTTTTCAGTGCAAGCCATTCAGTTCGCCATGAAAAGTTGTGCCGAATTTCACTACAGAGCAATCCCATATTCTTCCAATGAGAGGTAACACTCCCTCTCTCTAGCAATTCCAGTGCCTCTTCAGGTGATAAGCATAACCCTATTGGGTATCAAATGATATTTCAAGTGCATATCAGATGACCTGCTTTGTACATTGCAGGCTGGTGGCAGTCTTTAACACCAAAAATTGTAGCTTCCAAGTTCTTAAAACTGAGATTTGCCCTTAAATTACAGTGTAGAAGCTATTTAGGAACTGTGATTCTTGCATGCATAAGACAAGGAGATGACCTGTGCCTGCAGAGAATTGCTGGTGCCCACCTCGGCGAAGTCCCCTTGATTACCTGTTTCACATTAAATGAGGAACAGATATCTACGGGGTAAAAATACAAAATATTCACCAATGAGGTCTGTACCAGAAATTTGCTCCGCGTATTTGATAAGCTTAGTGATTTCTTCCTGTCACGCACTTCATTCTTTTAGCAAAAAATCAAATTATAGAAGACAAATCAGAGCATAGCACAAGTAGACGTATACCCTCTGCATGATGTTCTGCTGCAAAATGCACTGCAATGAAGGGAGAAGGGCAGCTGCCAGGCTTGGGGTCACTGGACTGGATGAACCACCACATGCTAAGCCAGAGGAGCAGTTCATCATACCCTGAATGGGAGACAAGCGAGAAAGTTGTTATTGAGCCATAAAGATTTAGTCTTAAGGAGTTCTGCTCTGAGTATCATGGAACCACATAAATTTGGATGTTGTGAATTTCACAAACTTTGCAAGATGGGAACAGGAATTTCAGGGAGGTGAGTGTTTAATCTGAAACTTCAAGTTGAGATGAGTAAACAATTGCACTGCAGAATTCAGATACCTCAAAGCTGGGACTTATACCATATAAAGAATAGGCAGATAAAGTGACAAGACCAACTCAAGTTTTGAGTGGATTAAGAAAAAGTAACTCTTTCTTACATTTAAAAAAATTAAAGGCCCAGTCGGGACCAGAGATGACAACCAATTACCTTAGGACTAACATCTGCTGAAGTGACCTTAAAACGACCCTTACGTTGGATAACTGCTCCTTCTGACGTATCCTCTGCTGTGCATTAGTGATTACAACTAATAAAACTGATTCTCTTCACCTACCTGGAAAAACTATCAATAATCATAAGAAGAGCTCGAAACCACCATAACTTACCAGGTGACAAACAATTAGTGTCTTTCCTTTGGCGATACAACAGAGTCCCACTATAGTTTCGCTCAGATTGATATTTTGGTTGCAAATGATCCCTGAGATCGCATTTAAAGAACCGAACTTGATAAATTTCATGCTCTACAAGCAGACATTATGAAAATCATCTTTCTCACACCATGCTGTAGCCATAAAGATGTTCTCTCAATAGTTCATCCAAATGAGTAAGGGATGGAAATTATTAGGTGCAGTTTACTTTCAAGTCCTAGGAGTAGTATGAGGCATCACAGCTAGCAAAACCGAGACACTGCCCAGTTTCAAGTCCTACATATCGCATACCCTGCACAGCATCTAGAAGTGTCCTCCTCCATAACTTATACCTTACTTTTCTTAACACTGATATCTTCTGTATGATCCTAAGGTCGTCGTTTAACTCTCCAAATCCCCTTAAACCAGTATGTGTTGTCATATCCTCGATTAGCATCACACTGTGTTGTCCCTAAGGAACCCCCTCACATACATGACTTCATTAAGATGTGGAATAATGTCGGAACTACCTCACCAATCGATTACAAAATCACCACACATAAAGGCTCCAGCACACGAGCACCAGGCTTTTTTATTTTTATTTTTCAAGGAAATCTAAGCCTGAGAAAGGCAATGTAATATTTTCTTTTCTCATAAGAATAGAAACATCTCATATGATTGCATCGATGCATTCCCTTATACTATTCCCCAAAAACCGACACATGCAATAGGAACAGCTCAGACAAATGCCTCTATGTGCTCCTTACTATTATTTCCCATAAACTGACATATATTTTATGTGATTACTCACTTATATTGAAAAATTAGGATTTTATCAAAAGAAAAAGGAAAGAAATAGGTTCAACATAGAAAGTTACCTGTCCCCGTTGTCCATAATCTTCTTAGCAGAGGCTACAGTATCGTGTATTAATGGACCACTTAAGAATTTCTTATGATTTGGAATCTCCTGACGTGGTAAAGATCTACTCCGTGCAAAATCATCATTGTCGTCGTTGTCGTTTCTACCAGTATCCTGATGGACAGCTCTCGGTGAGGATTTTGTGGGAAGCTGTTCATCAGAATCTGATCGAGTGTCATCCCAGCTAGGACTCGTATTTACATCTTCCTCACCAACATCAAAACACTCTCTACATCAAAAGTTATGGCTCCAGTAAAAGAAGGTGAAAAAGACTGAAAACAGAAAGGCGGATCATTTCTCATCGGATCTTCTATGGTTTTTTATGACCAAAAGGAATGCATGGAAAACAATAAGCGCAAAGCAAGATAATTTCATCAGGCTAAGAAACAATGGCACTTAATTTCTTGGGAGAGAAGAGGCATATGGATACTCCAAAAAACCAGGAGCTGCATGAAGTTTGACAGAGGAAGGAAAATGAACATGAAGGAGAGTGAAAAAGAATAAAGATAAAGCAGTCATACTTGAGTGCTTGAAGTGGTTTGATAGGAAATGAAGCAAGTGAGCTCTTCAAATCATGAAAATCATTTAAAGCATCCTGGAACAAAAGGTTAATAATATTTATCAGGAGAAAATAGTTAATGGAGCTCCTGATAATGTTCAAAAGAAGACCATTTTACAATAAAGAGTTCGAAACACCATGATAACACGTTTACACAGCACAATAAGTGATACCTCCTGACCAGACGCAGTGTTTGAATGGTTAACCAACTCAAGTGACATTCTCTCTCTGAATCTCCCAGAACCATCATGTCTCTCCTTCTGCTTTATGGACGCACGAGAGTCTTCATTATTTGGCACATCATCATTTTCCTGAATCTGACAATAACAAATATCAAGAAATAAGTCTTTTAGCAATTAAAAACCTCAGTTGACAAGAAATAAAATACTCACAAGGGCAGCCTGACTTTTCAGATCTTCAAGGTTGAAATTCCATGCACTAATTCCTCTTATGTATTCTTGCTGCAGCAAACAAGTAATTTGTAGTAAACCATTGCAACAAAAGAGCAAGCATCTAAACCAGGGAAACTAGTAAACAAGGATTCTGCAGTGTTGCATGCATAGCAGCATAGATGAATTAGCAAATCCTTCTTCAGCAACTTACTAAAGTTGAAATACAAGACCACTTTTCAAAGCATCACTAAAGTGGGGAATTAAAAGAAAAAGAAAGAAAAATGCGCATAAGCAACACTTAAGCCATTTAGTCCCTGTAGGTTGCAATAAGCTATCCTTTAGCCCTCTCATTTGTAGTAGTGAAAATTTTGTATGCAGGTCATTGACTCCTCATTTCTCACAAGTCATGAATGTACAAACAGCCTCTAAAATTTTAGATGAGTTCTCAAATGGTCCTCGAACATTTAGAACAACTCAATTAACCTCCAAGATTCTCAGATGCAGCAGGGTGCAAAATTGAGTTTTGACTGGGGAAATTACATCAGTTTAATGCAATAGCTCATTCGTGATTTACCTACTTATAGAAAAGGAAATAGGATTTAAGTACAGCCGCTGTTCAATTTATCTTTTTTAAGTAATGTATGCTTCTTTTCTTTAAACCAGATACTTGTCCAAAGAGCATAAAAATCTCCCTAAGCACAAACGCGCAAAGGCCATTTTAAGAACCATTCAAGCGCCTTTCCATCATATTCAGTTCAAAGCAAATCTTCGGAAATTTATTGCACATTTTTTTGGAATGACATTTGCTTTGGACTTTTTACTTACTGTAAATCTTGTGGTGCACGCACTTTGACTTCTTTTTTTATAATAAGCACTTGAAACTTTCATAGCATATTAATATTGACACATAGTAGTTTTTCCACAATTTCCAAAGGTTGGATTATTATTGTAAAGCTAGACAAGGAACTGAAAAAGTACTTTTGACTTTTGATGAGTCCGGACAAACAACCCAAAAAGCAATGTGCTGAATTGTTTCACATTCTGGCCAGAACATGTTGCATGCTATCCCGCCTTTTGCTTATTATATAGGGAAGCCATAGTCCTTACCTGAGATAATTGCTCTTTGTCTTCATAGAGAGCCTTATTCTGAACAAGAAGAGCAGCTTCTTGTGCCTGAATATCCGAAAAATGTCAGAGCAGATGCACACTTGCATGGGCAAGGCCTCATGACACAACAGACTATAGATTGCCAGAGTTAGGAGCAAGAGACCTTCAGCTTTTTAAAGCGCTCACCCAGTGGAGCAAGGCCATTGAGAATGGTTCGAGCTAGATATTCGGTAGGGCGTGCATGTTTAAAAAAACTGTGCTTCAGAAGCTTCTCTGAAGTAGGACGTTTCTTGGGGTCCTTCACTAAGCAAGTGGCTACCATCTCTTTGAAAGACTAACATAGTAAGGCACCATTAGAACCATACATGATCACAGTGATGTAACTACAACGATTTGGTATACAACAATCATTTCTTCTAGATAGACACACCTTTGAAAATCTCTTATCTCTTTCGTAGTCCAGGCCCGGAGGTGCATTTTGTAAGGTCATCAGCAGAACCTACAGAAAGAGCTAAAGGTGTAAGAAAAGCTAAAGACGACATCTAGTCATGTCCACCAGTCTCAAAAGCAAAAAAAGGTTTACTTTCATTGGTGGATACTTGGAAAATGGGGCATGCCCATGCGCAAGTTCAAGTGCTGTTATTCCAAATGACCAGATGTCTGCTCTGTTAAAAAATAAACAATAACTTAACTTAATCATAAAAAAAATTAACTTTATGCATTAGAAACAAAGGGAACTTGAAAGAGGGGGTTCAAGACATAAGCAGTGCACTCACTTAAAGTCATATCCGTGTAATTGCTGCATGACCTCAGGAGCCATCCTGAGAGGATAAAGTGCAGTTAAGTATATGAATAAATCATACTATTGAAAATGCATTTGCCTTACAAAATATGATCATATATTGGACTGTCACATTGCATTACAACAATTTAGAGGCAAATTTACCAGCATGGAGTCCCAACAAAGGTATTTCTGGACCGTTGTCTATCTCCTGTATCGAACATGCATGCTGACACTCCAAAATCTGCTAACCTGACTGCACCATTGTCATCGATTAATATATTCCCTGCCTGCATTCATGTTGGTGAATATTGATAATATAAGAATGGTACGTTAATATAGAAAAAAACCATATGAATTGGACCAGAAAAGACAGTGCGGATAGCAAGCAAAGCACCTTCACATCCCTATGAATATGTCCATGTGCATGGAGATACACAAGTGCCTTGAGAACCTCATGCAACAAAGTGGCAATAGCTGGCTCTTCAAGACCTTCTGGGTAAGCAGATTTCATAATGTGAAGACAGGATCCTCCAGCCATGTATGGCATGACAACCCAAAGGCTGTGGCCAGCAGTAAAGGAGCAGTGCGCACGCAATAGATTTGGATGATTAATCAAACTCATTGTCTGTACCTCTCGCCGGATACCATCCTGTGCAAAGTCATTAGAAAGATGCATGAAATTAGGAAAAAAGATCATCATTAGAAATTTTCAATGTTGAAGGAAAATATAGAAAATTTATTTCTTAAACTAGATTTTGCAATTGAAATTACAGTCATCATTTGTCTTCATTGTTTTTCGTAAGACAAATCTTATTAATAGAGAAAACTGTTTAAGTACATGAGGAAACTTGTTTTCAATATTTTCAAACTTAACTCATAACATCTTCAGAGCTCAAACATTTCTTCACATAGCAAAAAATAGATTGATCCAAATGTCAATTCCATCATAAGCTCTTGAGTATCTGCTCAGAGGTAATGAAGTAACAAAGGGAAAAAAAAGCCCTAATCCACATGATCAAAGTCAGTCCAAATGAAAATGTCTTAGAGGTTAGCGGCTGTTATTCAAGAGGACTCAGCTCTCTCACATGATCACATTCAATGTACCCCCGCCCCAGCCCCACCAAGATTTCAACATGGTTTTTATGTCTCCAAGCCTCACTTGCACACACCTGTATGTCTTTCAATTGGACATATTCTGCCTTTGCGAAATAAAAATTATAGTGAATGGTATACATGATCAAAAAAGCTACTGAACATGTAAAAGTAGATAATCTAAACTACAGGAAAAGATATACAGAAAAATAGTTCCATTTGTAACTTTTATGCAACTCATATCTCCGTCTTTTGACATATGTCATATATACGTCAGTTCAAACACCTACTGAATTAGACCCTTGCTACATCATTAACAGTCTATCTTGGCATCAGATGCTCGTGTACTTTTTAGCTTCACCTAATAATGTAATCTACTCATATGAGCCTAATCTTATCTTATGTTCATTCTATTTTTTTATTACACCAGTACATGAATATGCGCTTACATGTCATTAATGACCGACACAAGGTGTACACTTCTTTATAGTTTGGCTAGTCATACATAAGAGGTACAAGAAGATGATGCAACAAAACCTTCTTCTTCTTTTTCTAGTTTAGCCAACCAATTACGGCCAGTATGAGTTGGTTTTTTTTAAGCAGAGCTCAATTGACTTTCTCCCCAATTTAAAAAATAATAATAATGCGTTTATAAACCAAAAATTTCAGATGATTCTAAATGCCCTTAGATGTCTATATGCAGGTATTTTAAAGATGAGAGGTGCTTAGCATTATATAAATTGGAGTCTCAAACACTAAAAGCAAAAGCAAAAGCCAAAACTTAAAGGTAAAAGTCAATCCCATGCAGAACCTTGATAGCTACCAAAAATAATCAGTCTAGACAGAGATTAGCAGCAAAAGTAGACAAGCAAGAACTCATTACACATTCTGTCCAAAAAAAAAAGTACTTATTAGCATGATATCTATGCATGCAAAATGAGTTTCTAAAAATAAGTGAAGCAAGCTGAAATCATGCTCCAAAGTATACCATCCTGTTATATCACATGATAAGTACAATATAATTACAATTGAAAAGGTACCAAAGCCACTTGGAATGAGAATATACAAAAAGAAACTCTCAACAGACCACGGAGAAAGCAGAGCACATACCAGATCATTATTACACTTCTCAAGATCAAGCACCTTGATAGCAACTCTCTCATTGAGTGGACTGCAGAGCGCCCTGTAAACAGTGGCACTGACACCTTCACCAACTTCCTCAAAGAGCTTATAGTCCTTTGCATTGAGGGGGAACTTTTTATCTGGTGTATGCTCCATGGTTTCTTTTGGACCATAACCCTACTTTTTGAAGACGATGCACAATATGTACACTCAATAGCAAAGCGTCAAATTGTGGGGTTTCTTCCAATTCCAAAGCATGGCTCCTTTGTTCAGCACAGAGAAACAAAAGCTTATGGTGACTCCATTAAAACAATTATAGATTGAGCAATTTGTATGGCATGCACAACCATCCGATCCTAAAATCACTGGCTTATCTCAGGAATTACAGACACGGTGTAAAGAGTGCTTAGGATTTCTCTTACTTTGAGAAGAGGAAGAGACTGTACATGTTCAAGTATTTTTAGAAAGTGCAATAAAGCAACTAAAAATAATGACTCTGGAAGAAAGGCTTAATGCCGTGGGAGTTTCAGCCCAGGCAAGGCAACAATCACTTCTACTTATAACAGTGTCCAGCCGATCACCATTGACGCTCCTCTCTGAATAAAGAAGTCTATCGTCTAGATGGGACCAATGTCTTCTGCAGCACTGCAGTCCACCAAAGTCCAATTCCTGGTGAAATCTGCAAATCAAATCAAGCACATGATGGAAAGAGATGTAAACCCCAGTCCAGGCAAGAATTGTTAGGAAAATCATACATAAATGCAAGAAGCAAGATTGTAGGTATAATCAATTGGAAAGACATAATAACACATGCACATGTATAAGGTTTCAAATGAACAGAAGAGAAGAGTCAATAAAAGACAAAACCCGTTATGGAGATGATAGGACAAGGCTAAGGCTGTAATCTCGATGGGACTAGGATGAGCTCGATGAATAAAAAAAGAATTGGTAGAAATTCTCATAGGTGAAGAAAATTATACCTAAGTTTAGGATACTAGATAATAAACACAAAAGGGACAACATCACTATCTGAAGCTACATCACTGAATGAAGTTGCTAGGTCAAAATATTATATAACTAGCAAGAAAATTGCTGAAACAGCAACTCTGAAAAGCTTATATGAACCAGTGCTGCAGTTTCAAATCATCGGCCATGACATAAGTTTTAAGTTCGGTTCTTATTTATCACAAACTGCAGTTTAATTGGCCCAAGCAAACTACCTACCATGGTCTGCCAAATCCATTGAGCAGACTTGGTCCCCTTTCAGAATATAATTTGAATCTGGGTAAATGGACATATCATCAATAGGCTAAATATCTTGAAGGCCGTTCATCATCTCCCTTCTCTGTCCAACCTTCATTCTACATCACAAAAGCGCACACAATAGTGGATCTTGGACTTGAACTTCTCAATATGCCTCCTCAAAGAATATCAAAATTCACAAAACCATCTTGTTAATGAGTATCCTGCGCACTTGTTAAGCATACTAAATAAGGAACAATTCACTTTCCAAAACAATACTCATGCTGCGAGACAGCCAATGCATTGAAAGTTGCGAATTTTCCATAAATAGTTTCTCAACAAGTGCACTTGGGGCAATCATTAACGAAATCCTTTAAAAAATTCTTAGATAGACCAACTATTTGTACAATAGCCTTTTCTCACCTAAATGTCATGTTATCTGATATCTTCCAACAGGTCTAATCCTTTTCAGGTCCACCTTACCAATATATGAGTTCACTTGCACTGCCTAAGGAAATTCTCACCTTCGCACTTGCACTGCCTTTACCCCCTCAACTTCTTCCTGCCTCGTAAGGCTTGGACCTCACTCACAAACTAATCGTGTTGCTATGATATTCTTGGCACACTAGTCAGTGCCTCACACATATCGATCCGTTCAATGTGCAATTCTGAAAGCGATGGATGTTGACACACCAGATTAGCCCACCAAAATCTCAAGCACCATCGACCCATGGTGACAAAGAATGCAGGATCTAAATGGCCTCCACACTGAGGGGGTCCACAAATTTGATATCTATTGTGACACCAAGCCCGACACACTATGCAAATCGCCCCTTAAAAGAAGTGTTTCGCATTGAGCATTGGAGTAGGCTCCCAACTCTTGACTTGTACATCACACACAATCTCTTTCACAGGCCACAAGGGTCTTGGATATCACACCCAAATTCATTCGAAAGTCGGTGTTCTTAAAAGGACGAGACTTGACAATTACTTGGTATGAGTATACAATGCAGAGTCTCAAGTACATCAAGAAAAAAATTTCACTAGTTTGAACTGGCTCCAATTGAGCATGCTCACTACAGGGAAACGCAATTAGCTTCATCCCAAATATAATTAGGAAGAATAGGAGCCCTATGCTCGAGCTGTTACAACAATCTCCTCCTTAATACATGGCTCAACATTGCACTCAGACTGTGCCGAACCAAGCAACGAATCGAGCTCGAAGGAAACCGAAACTTCTCCCAGAGAAATCTCAGTCGGCACAAGACACGAAGCGGGACACAAATCCAACACAAGCCAAGCAAACCAAACCAAACCACCGAAAGAACTCATCAACCCAATCGGGGAAACAGAATCGCTCGCGTCACCCAATGACAAGAAACTCGTAAAATCGAGAGAGGAGAGCGCGGAGCACGGACCTAGGGATTGGAGGTACCGGGGCAAAGTTCCAACCTTTCGGCGAAGGAAGCAAAAGGGTACCCTCGGCCGGGACCGAATCGAGCTTCCCGAGGATGCAGAGAAAAACTTGGAGACGGCGACGGCGACGTCGACTGGCCAGCTACTGTTCAACTCCTCCTCAAATTTCCTGTCTTAGCTGATCAGTCAGTGAGCTGGTTTTGTCCCCAGAAACGATCAGACACACACACACGCGCGTATACATATCTCCCTACGGATCTCTCTCTCTCTCTCTCTCCTGTCACGCACACGATGACAGGCTTGACAGCAACAAAAGAAAGAAGAGACGAAGGTGGAACGTGGGGATTGGTGTTTTTTTAACTATTTAACCGTCGGTTTCGGGGGTCAACGAGTTGAATCGTTTTTCCTCCGTCGGCTGTAAGAACAAGAACAACCTCGGAGGAGATAAAACAAAAGCCGACGTCCTCTCTCCTTCCTCCAGCCTTCACCCGCGAGCAGAGGCTGCCGTGCCGGAGGTGGGCAGCGGGCCGGCGGCGGCCCGTTTTCCACCGGACCGGACCGGTTGAGGGGCGGCCCGGGGCGCGTGCCGGGCTGGAAATCTCCGTTTGTGTAAAAGCCGCGGGATCTTTTCTATATGCCTTTTGAGGCCCCAAGCGTTGGCCCGTAAGGACGTTTTGCTAAACATCTTGCCGGGTTGGCCTTGAAGCGTGAGCATCGCGCTGGATCCGATTCTAACCCGTACCGGCTCTTCGCCGTGAGGAGGTGGTCAAGGGAGCAGCGGCGAAGGCACGGGGCGAGGGGCGAGGGGCTGGCGGCAGAGGGCACGAAGGAGCGGCCAAAAAGCAGCTGCTCAATGCTTGTCGTAGAAGGAGTACGTGGTCATGTCAATCACTCCGTTGATGTTATCAAATCCGGTACAATACATAGAGATAGAGATACTAATTATGTTATTCAATCATATAAGAGACATCTTGATGGATTGATCTTATTCGATACATTTGTCTGGTAAGCTATGTGATAATCTACGAACTTGAACGGATTTAATTTAACTAATATTCAGCTCGTGAGCTTCGCAGTAACTTACCAAGTAATTCTGAAATGCATCTTAACTAGCTCGTGTATATTAGGAAGTTGATGAAGTGGGAAATTAACGGAGAAAAGTTAACTATGTCATTTTTTATTGTCTTTTCTATTATTGAATTAAAATATAAAGTTTGGATAGTTAAAAATGACATGAATTCCACTTTTCACTTTAGAATGTCCAACCTAAATTTTAAATCGTTTGGTAGAAAGAGAGAATATGAATATAAGACTTATTGAAACACTAAAAATAAGTAATGTGCAATATCTTTTAACACCCAATCTCATATGCATACCAAATCGAGAGCATCACATGGAATTAATGAGTAAAGAGCCTCGCATGCGAAATAAATGGAGGACAAAATATGGGTTCGATACCAAGTTAGAACGTTGGACCGGGAGATTAGATCTAGCCATAAGAAGAATTCTTGGTCTTTAATCGAAAAACTTAAATTTATTAGGTGAAAGAAAACCACATATATTTTCCGACCTATTGAAACCCCAGAAAAACGAGTGAAGAAGGATGCTTTGACAAGAATAAAGTAGACCGAAACTCCTCTGAACAAGCTAATATATGCCAATGTCGAGTAAAGGACAACGTCTTCATGAGTCGTTATCTGATGTTTGGAGACACATTCGAGTAAAAGACAACGTCTTCGTGAACATCGTGTTGGATCCCATTCTAACTTGTATCGATGGTCGCGGGTCGAGGGGCTGGTGGCGGAGGGCATAAAGGAGTGGCCGAAAAGTGGCGGCTCGGCGCTTGTTGGAGAAGGGGTTTGTGGTCATGTCAATCACTGCTTTGATGTTACGAAATCTGGTACAATGTATAGAGATAGAGATACTAATATGTTATTCATTCATATCGGAGACATCTTGATGAATTGATCTTATTCGATATGTTTGTCTGGTAAGCTCTGCGATAGTCTACAAACTTGAACGGATTTTATTTATTTGACAGGTCGAGATTTCTCGACACATATCTAGCTAGCCAGTTTCTTTGTATTGCGGTAACTTGAACATATATAACTTATTTGATGGGTCGAGATTTCTTAACTAATATTCAGCTCACTGGCTTCTTTGTATTGCGGTAACTTACCAAGTAATTCTGAAATGCATCTTAACTAGCGGGTGTATATTAGGAAGTTGATGAAGTGGGAAATTAACGGAGAAAAGTTTACTATGTCCTCTTTTATTATTGAATTAAATGATACAGTTTGAAAAGTAAAAAATGAGACGAATTCCACTTTTCACTTTAATATATAGTTGTTAAAAAGATAATTTTTAACACGAGCAACTGTAGAATGTCCAACCTAAATTTTAAATCGTTTGGTAGAAGGAGAAAATATGAACATAAAACTTATCGAAACACTACAAACAAGAAATGTGCAATATCTTTTAACACTCAATCTCACATGCAAATCAAACTTAGAGCATCGCGCGAAACTAACAAGCGAACCTCACATGCGAAATAAACGGAGGGCGAAATATGGGTCCGATACCATGTTAGAACGTCGGGCCAGGAGATTGGATCTAGCGTAAGAAGAATTTTTTTTATCTTCAATCGAAAAACTTAAATTATTAAGCGAAAGAAAACCACATATATTTCGGACCTCTTAAAATCCCAGAAAACGAGCGAAGGAGGATACATAGACAAGAATAAAGTAGACCGAAACTCCTTCGGACAAGCTCATGTATGCTAACGTCGAGTAAAGGATTCATGAAAACGAGTACTGAGGGCGCGTTTTAGTCCCTATCCCATGTTTGGAGACACACTTAAATTAGGATTAGGCCCAGAAAAGTTCAGACAAAATCAAACATTATCTCGAGATCTTGACCAAGCAAAGCATTAGGTAGGAAGAGCGAAATTATTCAATAAATGATAGAGCTTATGATGACAGTCAATAATAGCACGTGCCTCCTACCGAAGGGGAGATTGGATTTTAGAGGGAGAGGGGAAGTGCGAAGAAATTTCGGAACGGTGGGGGGGAATCTCGCGGTCCCAAGTAATCTCCCCGCGCCCACGGCGGGAGTCTTTTGTTGCGAGCTTGGGGGGGACTAGGATGGACGAGGGCAACGTGGGAGACGACGACCTTCGTGTCCGCATGAAGGGGTCGCATCGGCCGTGTCGGTTGGCTTCGTGGAAGGCGGGGGAGGGGGTACCCATCTAGCCATCCCCCCAATTGACGGGGGCGAAAGAAAAGAAGGGAAAAAAGGGAGTTTGCCCGGTCCATAATCCACGCTAGGACTTTTAGGGTCTATTTGATAATCCGACAAACAATATCCGATTCTATTTTTTTTTTCTATTTTCGAGAACAAAAAAAAAAGAATAGAAATCCGTTTGGTAAATTTTTTATTCTCGGACATAAATTTGTTCCCAGAATCAGTTTTGGAATAGAATCGAGAATAAGGAAAATGTTGATTCTTGATTCTGGAAACAAGAATTAGAATTGAAAAAGAATTTTTTTTTCTTTCTTCTTTTTCTTTCCTGGCCTATGGCCGGTGGCCGGCGAGGGCTATACCCTCGCGGCCTGGGCGAGGGTCGCCCTCGTCGAACCCTTGCCAGATCCGGCGAGGGCGGCCGTCGTCCTCACCGGCCCTGGCCTATGGCCGATCGCCGACACCGGCGACCTGGCCATGGGCCAAGGAAGGAGAAGAATAAAAAAAGAAAAGGAAAAAAGAAAAAAAAAGGAAATAAATATTAAAAAATTTAAAATATTATTAATAAAAAGAAATTTTGTACCGATAACAAACGCATTTATGTTCTTTTTCTAATCTAGGAATATAAATTTTAGGCGGTTACCAAACGCCTTCAAATGCTTAGAAATTATTTCCGGGAATGGAATAAAAAAAAATCATTTCTGAGCATAAATTGTTTCGGGAACAAAATGGTTATCAAACGCACCCTTAGCGGATCCCCAAAATCATCCTAAATAGACCCCGATCCATCCCGGGACACCTCATGTTACGTTCGGTTGTCTGCATTTTTTGTCGAATGGGACTGGAGATGATGAGATGTGAAATTCGGGAATTCTGTTATATTATGTCTATAAAGTCAGATACATTCATATTTTATTACGTTCATTGTTTGGGAGGAACCGCATGTCGTGCGACTAGACTCAGAAATGCATAAATGGAGATGATAAGAATTTCTCACAATTCACTACTAAGGAAATTGCAAATGCACAAATGGAGACAACCTTCCACAACAAATGAGCTCGTTTGCAGTATTCATAAGCTACACGTTCGATCATGATGAGAATTGTAAACGGGTTACGACGACATCAACTAGATAGATCAGCCAGCAAGTGCCAAATCCAATAAAAGAAATCAAGCATGATCCTTTATCTTCGCGGTTCTCAAAAAGTATAGTGTTTCGACTCTCTTCTCGCTTTCGGAAAGTTCAACATGAACTAGAGAGCTACGGAGGAGAAGGAGCGTCGGCTTTGTCGCGTTTTTATGGAGCCTTGACGTGAACCAAAAAATTACAGAAGTGTCGTAAAGTTTGAACAAGAACCGTAACTACATAGGAAAAGGACAAAGAGATGCTAGCATTTTCTTAGAAATCTCTTTGCCCTTTATTTTTGGAAAATTGAAAAGATCCTTTTACGGTAGAATTTGTTCATTTAAAGATCTGGGTTAGTCTACTTCCTTTTGAAAAATATTTTCCTGAAGTCATTTTCTGGAAAATGTTTTCCCAACATAATTTTCCGTGTTGGTGACCAATATGAAAAAGTTTCGGAAAATATTTTTATTGGCGCGGCGCGAGGCCGAGTGGTCGAGGCGACAGCTGCCACGATCGGCGATCGGCTGGCCGTGATGGCAGCGGCAGCATATGCACAGTGGCGGCGACCTTAGTGAAAAGAAGAAGAAGTTCAGGAAAATGATTTTGCTTTTGAAGAAGCGGAAGTCATTTTCCATAGACTTAGGTTATTTTGTGAGGGGGAAGGAAAATATTTTCCCACGGAAAACGTTTTCCGCCCGAACACCGGAAAACCCGGAAAATATTTTCCGGAGAATATTTTCCAAACGAACGGAGCCTAAGATCCGGGTTAGTCTACTTCATTTGATTAGCTCATTTTTTTATTATTTTCTCTCTTTTTTTTTTTTAATTTCGTTTCCTTTTTAATTCCCTTCCATCGTTTCTCAATTAAAAAATATACTAATATACCTCAAATACTAATATGCGTAAAATATGTAATAAGTAT